CCCTTAGAGCTGGAGGAGTGGGGATAAATGAGATATGTGAGATACAGTCTCCACCCTCCTGAGACCTCCCTTCTAGTGTGTTCTGGAGCACTGTGGTTGAAGGGGAAAGGAGCTTGTACTCTGCCATTTCATCTCCCGCACATGCAGACCGTTCGGGGATGCTATAGTCGCAGGATGGGACCTTTGCAAAGAAAGGGCCGACGGCTTTTCTTGACATGCCCGTGCAGTCTCCCCGCCGTGGACTCCCTTTTCTTTGCCGTGCTTAGCAGCGCCCCCTCCTCTCCCAGAATCGGCTAAGCCCCTGGAAACCCTGCTCCTAGTCAAGACCTCCTCGCCGGAGCTGGGGCGTCACGGAGCCTGCAGGGTCCTTGGTTTCTGGGAGCCGAGCGGGAGGGACGGACAATGGGCGCAAGGTTACTGGCCCCCAAATTATGTGAGCAGGCCCAGTTCTCCGTCAGACTCGGCCATTTCCTGTCCCGAGGCCAGTCACTAAGACCCAGCCTCAGACTTGTTTCAGATGGAGAGAGACGACATACAGGGCGGCGGCTATAGAGAGGGTCTGTGGCACCAGAGTGGGCCACTGCAGGTGAGGCCGCCCGGTCTGAGCATGCGCGCACCGGCTCGCCGCTGACTTTGTGAGAAGGAAGGGGCGGGGCGTGCCCTTCGGTGAGGGCGGGCTTAGCACCTGCTGCGCGAGGCGATTGGCTCTGTGCAGGGGAGGGGGCCTGCTTCCGCCGGACGCCGGAAGTAGCCGTCCGCCCCTGCCAGTAGGCCATGGAAACAGAGGCACAGTAGTGTCTGAGGTGTGAGGATTGCGGGGTGGCGGCCATGGAGGCCGTGCTGAACGAACTGGTGTCTGTGGACGACCTGGTGGTGAGGCCAGATGTGGAGGGAGGGAAAGGGACGCTTCGGACGGGCGGGGTGTGGGAGAGTCGGGCAGGGGCCAAGCCCTCTACCCAGCATCAGCCCCGAGAGCGAAACCGAACTACGACTCCCAGCGGCCCCTGCCGCGCCCGACCTCCGCGCGAGGCTGCCCTGTGCCGCACAGGCCGATGGGAGTTGTAGTTTCTTGCGGCACTGAGTCTCGGACTCGCGCCAGAGCCTGACCTGGGAACCTATCGGTCCAGGTCCGTGCCAGAGTGACGCGGTCAGGGCACTGTCCTGGGCGCCCCCCGCGGAGGGCGGGGCGGGGGAGGGGTAACGAAAACCCGAGAATTTCACTGCCCCGAGCGAGCGCTTAGCCCGCCCTAGAAAGTGAGCGCTATTTTTATGCCCGTTTTTGCGAGGAGGGCCGGTCCAGGCCCGGTGGGGTGGGGCGGCGCGGGGGCTGGTGCTGAGCTGCTCTGACAGCGTGTTTACTGTTTGGCCGCGGTCAGCTGCTCCGGGAGCCGTGCCTGGAGCCGCCACCAGGTGGCATCTCCGCCCAGTGCCACGAGGGGGGAGGAGGGCCCCAGGGGATTGCCCCCCGGGATGCAGCGAGCTGAGCTCGAGCTCGGGGAATAGGGAAATAGGGATGGGAGGCCCCGTCCCTTGCAAATGACACCTCAACTCCCCCACTGCAGAAGTTCGAAAAGAAGTTTCAGTCGGAGCAGGCCGCCGGTGCCGTGTCCAAGAGCACGCAGTTCGAGTACGCCTGGTGCCTGGTGCGGAGCAAGTACAACGAGGACATCCGGAAAGGCATCGCCCTGCTGGAGGGTGAGGCGGGGGCTCCGCAGACCCTCACTCCGCTTTTCCTGTATAAACACGCACAACAAAGGGCTGTACTTAGCCTGGCTTCGCCCACCCGGTCTGCCGGCCTCCTCCGTCATTGTTTTGTCCCACAGTCCGGCTGGCAGTCCCACGGGACTTGCCTAGTCTGGTGGCCCACCAGGAGAGCAGCTTGTCTTAAGGTCGCTCCCTCATGGGACCAGCCCCGGGGCTGGAACAGTCTGGCCCTGCGTGTTGCTTATTCAGCAGCCTTTGGACACCTTTTCTGGTGTTCGGCTGGGCAGACGTCAAGAGACAGCCCCCCAGAGACAGCCCCCCCAAACCTGTGAGCTAATAGAGATGGTGCTTTTGCTTTGGCAGCCTACTTGGTTCGTTGGGGAGTCGCCCCCATTTGTCCAATTCTGCTTCCTGCTAGTTTGGGAAGGGGATCCGCGTTTGCCAGCCACCCTCCTTCCTAAGCGTTCCCTCTTTGGGTCCTGTGGTTAGGGGGCACTGCGTGTGTTTGAGTAAAGGATTCCTCGAGGAAATGGAGGAAGATCGCACACATGCCGTGTCCTTAGCTGCAGCAGGGCTCCCGGGCACAGCTGTGGAAGCGATTGCCCGGTGTCGTCTGTCTAGGGCAGGCCAGAGCACAAACACGGGGGAAATTTTAGACACCTGCAGAACCACTTAACCACCAGTTCTAGCCCAGCCAGGCACAACCAAACACACACGCTTCTGGGAAATTGTCGAGTTAAGGTGGGGTCAGGTGGGGTCACTTGGGCAGCCTCATGGAGGGTGGCGTCTGTGTGCCCTTTTTCCCAGAGGGGAGGGAAGGGGGTTTCCTCCGCCGGCGGGGCTGTGCACGGCTCTCAGGAACGTGGCAGACATTCGGGGGCCCTTGAGTGGCTGTCGGGACACTGGGGTGTTGGGGTGTCTGCTGTAAAGAGGTTCTCACCCTCTTATCTGTCCCGTTCCCCCCCTCCCCAGAACTGCTGCCCAAGGGAAGCAAAGAGGAGCAGCGGGATTACGTCTTCTACCTGGCCGTGGGGAATTACCGCCTCAAGGTGAGGCCCAGAGCGGCCCCTCAACTGCCACCTCTGGGGGCATAGTGCCCTGCGTGCCACCTTCTCTCCTCCCAGGTCCAGCCCCGGTCAGCAGGAGGGCTGGACAGAGCAGTAGGCTGGGGAGGGGGCGGGGCCCAGGGTGCGAGGTGACGAGAGGAGGTGAGAGGCAGGGAGCAGGTGCCGGGGGTGTGGGGCGCAGATGATGTCAGGGTTGGGGTGCAGCCGCGTGCCGTGGGTTGTTATCTCCCCCGGCTTATCACCCCCACACAGTGGGGTTGTTTATGGACTCTACTCGGCTGGGTGGAGCCCGGAAGGCGGCTCACAGATCCCGGGGTCTGCGTGTGTGTCCCCGCTAGGAATATGAGAAGGCCCTGAAGTACGTCCGCGGGCTGCTGCAGACGGAGCCCCAGAACAACCAGGCCAAAGAACTGGAGCGGCTCATCGACAAGGCCATGAAGAAAGGTGACCCCTCCCCCTCCCCCCGCCCCCCGCCCCCCGCCCCTTCCCCGCAGGCCCCTGACCATCCCGTTGCCTCCCCAGATGGCCTGGTGGGCATGGCCATTGTCGGAGGCATGGCCCTGGGCGTGGCGGGCTTGGCTGGACTCATCGGACTCGCTGTCTCCAAGTCCAAACCCTGAAGGACGGACGGCGCCCCGCCTCTGCCCAGGGACACGTGGGAGCCCAGGAGGACACTCCGAGGGGCCTGTCTGTCCCCGCTGGCTTCAGCCTCCGCTCCCTGCGCCCTGCCCTGGGGCCCCAAACCATGTCCTTGGGATGAGTGTAATAAACCGGCTCTGGACTCAGGCGTGCATGTGTGTGTCGGCGTGTGCGCCCGTCTCGTTGGCTGGGAGGCGGAGGAAGCAGCAGGTTCCTCACCCTCCCGGGCTCCTGGCCAGCCGGGCGCTCTGCCCCCTGGCCTGCAGGCTGCGGCGGGCTCCCGACCCCACACCCTTCCTTCCTCCCCTCTGCCCCGGGCAGCTGCGGGGCCACGCGGCCCGGCCCCTGGGCGAGTTGAGAGGTCGGAGGTGGGACGGGCGCGCGGCCACTGCTGTCTCCTCTGACCCACTCAGCTGCTGCTCTGCACGTGGAGTTTTCCACACCCGGGGCCCCCACTCGCTTCCTCCAGAACCCCCGCCCTTCCCTCCCTTTGTCTTCCTGCGTCTTTGCCTTCCTCCTCCCCTGTCCTCGGGAGGGGGGCTCGGGCGGGGGGAGGCCAGGAAGCCAGGACACCCTGGACGCTGGCTGGCTGGCTGGTGGGAGGCTGTGCGGCCCCCATCCCGCCCGTGCCAGGCTCCGTGTGGGCCGCGGGCGCCCGCATACCGTGCGTTCCACAGCCAGGGGCGGGGGGGCACCCATGTAGCTGCCCAGTCTCGGCTGCACATGCCCGGGGAGAACCTGGCACAGCCTGGGCGTGGGCCCTGGGATGGGGGTGGGGGCGAGTGGCCCCACACTTGCACCCTGGCCATGGACCACCCCTGCACGACGCCACGACAGGTGCTGGCCCTGCATTCAGGGCGGGGACACAGAGGCTCCTAATCATCACCATTAATAAGGGGAGTGACACATGCGATAAGTGGCCACAGTGGAGATTAACTGCAGGCTCTCATCCTCGCCGTGCTTTCCCCTCGGGACCACGCCGAGAGTCAAAGATCACCCCACCAAGGGGACCTTCAGTCTTGGGGGGCAGGGACGGGCCAGTCAGAGGGAAGCAACCAGCTGGCCTCGCCCCGAACCTGCCCCTGGATCAGGCCAGGGCCCTCACGTCAGAGGCCTGCGGGCGAGTGGGCAGTGTCACCTGGGTTCTGTCGCCTGTGCCCGCAGGCTGCTGGTGGTGCACGAGTTTCCCGGCAGGAACAAGCTTCCCCCTCCATCCCCTGCCCCCCGACTTCGTGCAAAATGGAGGGGCTGGTTGGACCCCAAGGCTATGGAGTCCTCTGCACCTTTCTCTGGGACCAGAAAGTCTGAAGACCTGGGGCTCCGGGTTTCTCCCAACGCTCTGCCCACCCTCCCAGCAGGGGTGACCACATGCCCCCGAACCATCCCCTGCTGGAGTACCCCCCGACTATTCCCAGGCCCCCAGTGAAAGCTGAGTCAGAGACAGACGCTTCCCCTTGGCTCCCAGGGCCTCCCATGGGGGGCCCCCTCCTGGCTGCATCCGTTAGTCACACCCGGGCAAGTCCTGCCCCCCACCCTCTTGGGGCGGGGAGGCCGGGGCGGCCAGGAGGCGGGGGAGGGGGTGGACTTTTGGCCGTTTCGTTTATTCCCTCCATCTCCCGGTCAGCAGCTGCCACGCTCCCGGCTCATTCTCCAGACCGCCCCGCAGCGCGGCAGAGCCGGCGAGGGCTCGCCCAGGAGCCAGGCGGCCCCGGGGCCCCTGCTGCCCACGCCCTCTTGGGGGCCACCTGCCACCATGTCCATGGCAGTGGAGACCCTGGGCTACTTCCTGGGTGCACTGGGGCTGCTGATGCTGGGGGTGACCCTGCCACACAGCCAGTGGCGGGTGTCCACCGTGCACGGGAACGTCATCACCACCAGCACCATCTTCGAGAACCTCTGGTACAGCTGTGCCACGGACTCCACGGGCGTGTACAACTGCCGCGAGTTCCCGTCCTTGCTGGCGCTGTCCGGTACGAGGGCCAGGGGGCGGGCTGGGACGGGGGGCCCCCACGGCTCAGGCACCTGCTTGCACGTGGGCCCCTGCCCTCTGCCCCCTGGTCTGTGTGGCTGCCGGGGCGGACCAGGCTCTGCTACACCTGCTGTTCCCTGCTCTGGGCCTGCCCCAGGGGTCCCGTGGGATGGAGGTGGGGCTCTCAGGGCCACCAACTGCTCCTTGTCCCTGCTCCCCTTCTGCTTTAGCTCTTCAGTCTGGGACTGGCTCACTCTAGTTGTGGGGTTGAAGAGTACACAGTCTGGCCACTACCTTGGGCGTCGGGCTCGCTGCCAGGGAGCCAATGTTTTTAGGGGAACTCCTGTCGCGTCATCTGCTGTCGGGGAGGCTGGGCGCTCCTGGGCACAGGTGCTGGGTTCTGTGAGGCTCTTGGGGCCCTGGAGCTGTGGCTGCTGGCCTGAGGGTCGCTTGCTTCCTGCCCCTCCCAAGCCTGCTCTCCATCCTCCTGATGGTTCTTGCTGTCTGCCCCCGTCGGCCAGAGAGGGGTAACCAGGAATCCTGCCAGTGTGGCTCCATGCCCTTCTGGGCAGTTGGAGGGAACAGAGGCTGTCCGGCGGGGCTCGGCAGGGGAGACCCTGGGGTCGACCCCCCGCCAGGGTGAGGGGCATACACTAAGCGGTTACATGGTCTGGGGGGGGTGTGGGTATGTGGAGGGGGTGTGTGTTGGGGGGGGTGGGTATAGGGTGTGTGTATATATGCAGAGGTGGGAGTGTCTCTTGCACCCACAATCCCCACTCCTGAGGCAGCCTCAGGACTAAGGCACCCTCACCCCAGTTGGCCAGACAGCTCCCCTACTTGGGTCTGGTGGCCAGAAGTGGGTGGCCACCTCAGAAGCTACCATCCCACTCCCTCCCCCATGCCCCCAGCCTCAGTGCAGGGTCTGAGAGGGCACATGCACAGAGAGGACAGCCCGGTGGGGATGGGGGAGCATGAAAGGACACTTTCGTATCAGAGGACAGAGGTGCTGGGCCTGGCGGGTGCTGACTGCAGCCCACACTGCTCAGCACTCCGTCCGCAGTGCTCCTGCACTCCCCATGCAGAGCCTGGGTGTGGGCGTGGCCGGGCCTGACAGGACAGGGACCCTGGAGGGCGTGGCCAGGAGTGAGAACGTGCTCCCGGAGAACTTTGTCCCTCCTCCCTACCCCCCCCAATTCCTCGCCACTTGTCACTCTCCTGGCAGGGACCCAGCCTTTCCCTTTCAGCACCGAAACCTGCCCCACCCCCGAAAGGGGTACAAGGTCCTTGGCAGCGCGTGGCAGCCTCCAGAGAAGGGGAAGGGGGAGCAGGAAGGGGGCCCAGTGCTGTCCACCCCCTGCTCCAGAGAAAGGGAAACCGAGGTGCAGAAAGCCCGAGAACTAGAGTGGCTACGGGCACTGGCCCAGCCACCAGAGCCCACCACTGCCCCCTGCTGGCAGTCGAGTGAGGGAGCCCAGCAGAGTGGGAGGGAGAAGGGGGGCCCTCTGTGGGCATGTGACAGTGTGTGTCCACTGGACTGGCCACTTGGGCCAGTGCTGCTGATGTCTGGTGGGTAGAGACCAGGCTGCAGGTGAACAGCATGCAGTGGGGAACATGGCACCCCTGGAGTGGAGGTGGGTGCCAGGTGGGGCTGGGGCTCCTGTGCAGAGGCGGGCTTGCCCAGGCCTGGGGACCCATGGCCACATCCCCGCAGGGTACCTCCAGGCCAGCCGGGCACTCATGATCACCGCCATCCTCCTGGGCTTCCTGGGCCTCCTCCTCGGCGTGCCGGGCCTGCGCTGCACCACCGTGGGGAGCGATGTGCTCTCCAGGAAGGCCAAGCTGGCAGCCACCGCCGGGGTCCTCCACATCCTGGCTGGTAATGCCCTGTCCTCCTAGTGCTTGCCCACCCCCTCTCCCCCCTTCCCCAGACTCTGCGTGTTTCCTGGGGGATGGATCGTTGGTAGTGGTGAGGGGTGTCTGGCTTCGAACTTCCAGCCTGGCAGGGAGGACTAGGCCAGACGTCCCGCACACAGGGTCTGGGAAGTCTCCCTCAACCCTCACCCTGGCCTGCCCCCACAAGCCTGCAAGGCCAGGGTAGCTGGACCCGGCTCCAGATGTGGGAGACACGCAGCGGCCCATGAGGAGCGGGGACCAAGCAGACCAGTTGGGGAACAGACAGGTGTCCCCTGGGGCAGGAGGTGCCACGGACCCCAGGATGGTGGTTTGGAGTTGAGAGGGGAAGGGAAGGATCTGGACAGGGCCCGTTCCCAGCTCCCTAACACCAGCTGCCGCAGGTTTCTGTGGGATGGTGGCCATCTCCTGGTACGCCTTCAACATCACCCGGGAATTCTTTGACCCCCTGTACCCTGGAACCAAGTGAGTGTGGGGGTGCCGCTGGGGGTGGGGGTGGACTGTGGGTGGCCCCCGAGTCTGGTCCCGAGCCTGCCCGCCCTTGTCTCCAGGTACGAGCTGGGCCCGGCCCTTTACCTGGGCTGGAGCGCCTCGCTGATGTCCATCCTCGGTGGCCTTTGTCTTGGGGTCAACTGCTGCTGTGCCCCGGAGGATGAGGTGGCCCCCGCCAGGTGAGTAGGTGCCATGGGCCGGGCAGTGGGGCCGGGCGGCAGCACTTGGCGCTAACCCGTAGCCCCCTCTCCCCACAGGACCTGGCTGCCCTACAAGCCCCCGACCAAGCCCAGTGCCAGCGTCAACACCCGTCTGCGGCCCGCGGCCTCCGTTGACGACGTGGACAGCAGCTTTGGAAAGTACGGGAAAAATGCGTACGTGTAGTGGCCTGGCCCATGGACCCCATCGCCTTTCCATGCCACAGCCCTGGGGACTCGGGCAGCCGGGCTGGGTCAGGCTCAGGCCCCGCCACCAGTCAGAGCCACAGGGGTGCTCTGGCCCTGCCCATGCCCAGAGACCACGCCCAGCACCCAGAGGCCCCGCCCAGGCCCCGCCTGCTCCGCCTGGTCCTGGGCATCCTCCTGGGCCAAGAATGCACCTCGCAAGAACTCAGCCCAGATTGCCAGGAGTGGACAGCCAGTTCCCCCCCCCCCCCCCCCCCCCACTTCTGGACCCGGGCTCTGGGCAGTAAGGAGCTGCAGTATCCCGTGTTAGGAGTCTGCATCATTGTCGCATCAATAAACTTTATCGTGAACTCTTCAGGGGTACAAAGTCTGGATTGGTTCTAAGCCAGGCAAGGGCTGACTGGGATCACCTGTCCCCTCCGCATCACCTGCGGACAGTCTCATCCAGTGAGATGGCGGGCTGCACGTGGTTCTGTGTGGTGGTCACCAAGGGGCAGGGGCTGAGACTCCAACTAGGAAGTGACCACCTCCACCTGCAGCAGTCCGTGAAAGCGGCTAACATGTCATGTCATGCCTTTCCCTGGTCGCTGTCCTCTGCTATAGAGAAGATGGGGGCCACAGCAGCGTTTCTCACCAGGGGCCTGGCGGTACCCAACAATCTGCCAGATGTTCCAGAGGTCGCAGCCCGAGACTGGGCGGGTGGGGGACTGGGGCAGGGAACAAGGCCAGAAGGAGGCAGGGAGGAGGTTCAGGAGGCCTGGCCTGGCACAGGGTGGAGACAGGAAGTGGACAGTCCAACAGGCCCAAGAACAGTGAGCACAGGGTGCCGGGCAGGACCCACAGGCTGGGGGAAACACAAGACGCATCATCCCGTCCCGACACGCAGCAGTTTTACGACACGTCTGGGATCTGAAGGTCAGGGATTCTACGGACAGAGACCTGGCCTCGCCTGGCAGCCACACCTCAGCCCCTCAGGGGAGCCTGGGAGCAGGTCATCGGGTGGCCACTCCCCTCCAGCTGTGGGGCCAGCCGGCTGCCACGGGGGCTTGTTTCTATTTTGTTTAATTATCACTGTCACTGTCCTCCTGTTGCTCATCGACTTGCTCTGCTCGGGCGGGCCCAGTAACGTCTCCACTGTGAGACTTGTTACTGTGTTTGGCATACTGAATACGTCACGGGTAGCTTGCCGGGCTTAGCCCTGCAGGCGAGATACACTTGGTAGCTTGCCGGGCTCTCCCAAGAGGGGTGGAGAAATTGAACCCGGGTCGATCAGGTCCGCCGCGTGCAAGGCAAACAACATTCATATGATGTTGAATCATATGAATTACAAAGATATTTATGACTGAGCTTCTTTCCGGTATACAGTATTCTCACACCAGTCCCTTCACCATGCCCACGACCCTCCCCCAATGTCCCCCATTCCCCTCATGCCCCATAATCTGTCTTTGTGCAGGACTCGCCCACCACTCTGTCCCGGTGCCAAGCTCCCCGCTGGTGGCCAGACCTACTCTGTGCCTGGGCATCTGCTATTCCCCTACGAAGTTTCTGGTATCTCAGGGGCTTGTTCTGCCCAGACCCAGTGCAGAGGACAGACACTCCTCTACAACGGAAGGACGCTGGTCAGGAGCTGCTGGTGCTGCTGGCCGTCAGGATGCTCTGACAGCCTTTGCTCCGCCCTCAGGCCTGTCCAGGGCAGGGCTGCGCAGGAAGCGTGCGTTTCCTCAAGAAGACCTGTGAGGGGCTGCGTCCACCCAAGAAAGTGCCCCAAAGTGGGGAGAAGGGCGTGCAAAGGGGCCTGTCCTCAGCTTCGCTGGATCTCATTAAGACCCAGGCAGCAAAGGTAGCCTGTGACACAGGCCCCTGCCGAGTCTCAACTCCAGGCGCTCTCGCGCTTCGGGCTGGCGGGCCCCCCCTACAAGGTGCCGAGACGAAGCCCCAGAACCCTGACAGGAGCCTCTGGAGGATCACTGTTCCCACCCACCACGGAACCTTCTGGATTTTATTTGAAACCACCCCCCCCACCTGCAGCAGGTGGTGCTGGGGATACAGTGCTTGGTCCCCAGGGGCTGAGAACCAGAAGCCAAAGACAGAGCAGGTGGACTCCTCACGCCTGGTCCCTACCCACCGCACCCTGGTCCCTGCCCCCCACATCCTGACCAGACCAGACCAGACCACCGTCTCAGACACCTCTAAGAAGCCAGAAAGGCCTGAAAGCGGGAATGGGTGGGAGGAGGGGACACACCTCCTGCTCAGGGAACCCCTAGGGTACCTGGAGCAGGGTGGAGCCGGCAGTGAGCCCCGCCCCGGCCCCCTCCACGTGACCCAGCAGGCCGCTTCTGCTCCAAACCTTTTATTACAAGTGCACCCCCACGGGGGGGGGGGTGTGGGGGGGGGGGGGTCGCGGTGAGGCTCCCCCACAGGGTGCAGGCTCCCGGGGAGTCTGTCCTTTGGCGGGTGCGCTGCCTGGCTCACACAGTCCACTTGAGGCACCTGCAGGCAGAGGCCTGGATGAGTCGTGGGGAGCTCGGGGAGTTGGAGGGAGCGGTCTTCAGGGATGCTGGCTCACCTGGTCTCCTGGTGGGTGCCCAGGCAGCGCACGGTGCAGTAACGGGCGCCACAACTGACGCACGTGTAGGGCGAGGGGAAGCCGCAGACGGCGCAGAAGGGGCGCTGGGGCCGCGAGGGGGGCCCGGCACAGGCGGTCAGATAGTTGGGGCCCTCAGCCACGCTCAGGTTCTGCAGGACACAGTGGTAGAATCCACCACGCGCCCCCACCCCCGCCCCCTGGGCCCACGCCGAGGCTCCCCCGCGGCCCCTCACCTGCTCCTCCAGCAAGGCCTGGAAGTTTTTGCGGAATCGCAGCTTGAAATGGTCCCCCCGCGTTTTTTTCTTTTTCTTCCCTAGCAGGGGGTGGGGGGAGCTGGTTACCTCATTTCCCGATGACCCGCGTGTCCATTCCCAACCTCATGATCCCCGAGGCTTCGGCCCCCTCCCTGCCTTCCTCCATCCCCACAACCCAATTCTGGGGCTTGATGCCAGCGTTGACGGCGGCCCCGGGAGGGCCCCATAGGTCAACGTCCCTGCCCCCACCTCACCGGTATCTGCGTCATCGTCGAACTGTGGCAGCCTCTTGCCTAGCTGGGGGAGCCCCGCGTGCGGGTCGTCCTGGAAGTTGTCATTCTCCAAGGCCTCGAGCTGCCGGTTGATGCGGCGCTGCCGGGCGGCGCGGTCCAGCACCCGCCGCTGTCCAGGGTCCTGGGAGCGAACTAGACAGGGGGCGGGGCGGGGGCATGGCGGGCTGAATCTGGCTCTGAGTAGTGGGGGGGAGGGGATGCAGGTCCCCAGATCTCTGCCCTTACCCAAGTCCCCATGCCCTGGGTTCCGTATCTTCCCCCCCCACCACCTTCCCTGCGCCCCGTCCCACACCCAGCCATGCAAAACATCACGGGCGGGGCTGGAGCGATAGCACAGCGGGCAGGGCATTTGCCTTGCATGTGGCCGACCTGGGTTCGATTCCCAGCATCCCCTATGAGCACCGCTGGGAGTAATTCCTGAGTTCAGAGCCAGGAGTAACTCCTGTGCATCGCTGGGTGTGACCCAAAAAGCAAAAAAAAAAAAAAAAAAAAAAAAGTCACTGGCAGAGCGTGCGGACGGGCAGGTGGAAGCCCAGGCAGCTTGGGGCCCTGCGGGGTACCTTCGCTCCCCCTCACACAGCGTGGGCCACGTGGATCCCCGCCTCCCCCAAACCCTGCAGCTCCCAGGCTGCTCCCCAGTGGGGCCGCTTCCTCCCGGGGGCTTTGGCCTGCACAGAAACCCCACAGACTCTCTGCATCTCTCCACTTCACTTCCTCACCTGCGTCTGCACCCCAGCCCGCAGCCAACCGGTTCTGGCCGAGGGGAAGGTGGGCACAGGCTCCAGAGGCACCGGGCAGACCTGAGCTGCAGCCCCCGCCCCCCCCCCCCCAACAACCCCCACTGACGGGCGCCCCCTGGTGGAGAGTTTCTGCATTTGCACCCTCCACCTCCCAAGGTGTGGAGGTCCCTCTGCCTCAAGGTCTTTCCCACCTGGGCTTCCCTGCCTCCCAGGACGCCATGCAAACGGGCCTTGCAGACCCCAGGCACTCAGGCACGTGTCCCCTTCTGTGCCTCCGTAGTGGCAGAATGTGTCACTGCCGACACCCAGCCCAGAGTCCAGAAGTCACTCTCAACTTCTCTCTCCATTGCCAGATGTTTATCAGGGTTTTTTCCCCTCTGGTTTCGGGTTCCCTAGCACGGTGCTCAAGGGTTCCCAGGGCTCTACAAGGCAACCTATGCTCCCACCCACGTGGCTGCCCGCCCAGAACATCCCTGCAATGTGCCAAAAAATACTTGTTGTTTTGTTTTGTTTTCTTTTCTTTTTGACAGTCATACCCAGCGAAACATAGGGGTTACTCCTCACTTTGCACTCAGGAATTACTCCTGGCAGTGCTCAGGGGACCATATGGGATGCTGGGAATCGAACCCAGGTTGGCCATTTGCCAAACGCCGTACCCATTGTACTATCACTTCAGCCCCAATACTTATTTACTGGAACAAGTATTCCTTAGTGCTTGAAACCATCCTAACAGCACTGGCACCAGTCACGGGTCACTTTCTGTACTCTGCATATACAGAATCTTTTTTTTGGGGGGGGGGTACACCTGGCGGTGCTCAGGGCTTACTCCTGGCTCAGCACTGAGGAATTACTCCTAGCAGTGCTTGTGGGGACCATGTAGGATGCTGGGGGTCAAACTTGAGTGGGCCGTGTGGAAGGCAAGGGCCCTCCCTGCCTACAATCTCTCCAGCCCCATAGATGGAACCCTTTAACCCTTGCCACAACCCTGAGATAGCATCATTATATCAGCCACGTTCACTGAAGTTCAGAGGTCAGAGTTCACGCTGCTGATAAGTGACTGGGGCACATTTCCAAGCCGGAACTACCTGCTCTTGATAGCTGCCTCCTGCCACCTCCCTTCCACGTGCCAAGCTGTCTCCCGGCTTCCAGCAAATGCCAGAACCTGCCGTGGGAAGCGGGGCGGGGACTCAAGTGAGTCAACAGCATCCATAGAATGCACGAGGAAAGGGACAGTTCACAGTGCCCCGGTGAAAAGCACCTGCTCGGGTGGAGCCAACTTCAATCCCGGCCCCGCATATGGACCCCCTCGCACCACCAGGAGTGATCCCTGAGCACCGCGGGGTGTGGCTCCCCCCACCAATAAAGGGTTTGACCTTCAAGTACTTTCCAGTATTTAGTAGTACTTTCCAGACAAACACTGTAGCACTGTAGTACTGTCCTCCGTTGTTCATTGATTTGCTCGAGCGGGCCCAGTAACATCTCCATTGTGAGACTTGTTACTGTTTTTTTGGCATATCGAATACGTCACGGGGAGCTTGCCAGGCTTTGCCGTGCGGGCGAGATACTCTCAGTAGCTTGCCGGGCTCTCCGAAAGGGGTGGAGGAATCGAACTCAGGTCGGCCAAGTTGGCCGCATGCAAGGCAAAATGCCCTACCGCTGTGCTATCGCTCCAGCCTAGTGTCTACAGAAAATCAGCCTTGGGAGTCTGATGGAGAGGGACAGAGATCTCTAGAGGGGGAGATGCAGACCAGGTGGCTGAGCAGCATCCTAACACTCAACTCGTCTCATCGCTTCCCACCTGGACGTGTGGAAACCTTCCTAACCAGCCCCACCGTCCTGTGTCTACACTGAGGCAGCAACTGCCTCATGCGGCAGGAAATGTGCATGCCATCCTAAGGCCTGTCACCGGCAGGACAAGGGAGGAATAAGCTGAGACCCTTGCCCTTCACTACGCGTGAACACAGCCCAAGGGATGGCCCTGGAACGAGGAGCCACACTGCTGGGCACCCTGACCTTGATGTTCCAACTTCTGACCTCTGCACCACCCGCATCAGCGAGGGGGAGCTAGGGCCGGAAAACGGACTAGAGGTGGCTCGAGCGTTCACTGCCACATGGTATTCCTAGTAGCTCCAGCAGGAATCCATGCTGATTAAGAGCATTTTCATCCTTCTAGAATGTTCTATGGGGGACAGAGCTGCTTGGGGTGGGGGTCCCTCTTGTGCACTGAAGCCAGAAGTGCCTTTTATTTTTTGGGTGGGGGTTGTTTTGGGCCACACCTAGCAGTGCTCGGGGCTTACTTCTGGCTCTGTGCTCAGGGATCACTCCTGGCAGGCTCTGGAGTGATCCTGCTGTGCCCTTGCCATTTCCACCACATCCCCACAAAATGCCTTCAACAACTATTTCTTAGTAGGAAACCATCCTAGCAGCCCTAGTGCCAGTCACAGGCATCTTCTGTACTCTCCTCATACGTGAAACCTTTTCACCCTTACCAGGGACCAGACCCAGGTTAGCTGCGTGCTCTCGCTCCAGCCCCCATAACTGCCTTTTCTAAAAGAGAACAATGGAGCTGAGGGGTCCGAGCAATACCTCAGCAGGAAGGGTGCTTGCCTAGCTCACACCGGGCCTAGGGAGATTCCCGCCATCCCATTTGGTCCCCTGAGCCCCTAAGGAGTGATCCTGGAGTGCAGATCCAGGACTCGTTCCTGAGCACCGCTGGATGTGAGCCCTCACCTCCCCGCCCCCAAAATATAAGTAAAACCTAGCAAAAAACAAAGTCATCACTCAGTGGGAAAGCCCTGCCCAGTTCTCCCCTGCCCTCCCACATGGCTCAAACTGCACAGTGAAGGCCTTCCTGGAGTGTCTTTCCCCAAACCGTTCACGATGCCTCTGCAAGCCCTGAACCTGGCTTTCAAACCCATCTCTGTTGGTGTCACTTCTTCTGAAAAACAAAAGGTCAGGAGCTCCTCTCCCTTAGAGCCCTCCTAAGACTGAATTAGTGAGACTGAGACCTGAAACCTTGCTGGGAGGAGCCTGCTGTCAGTCAGGCCCAAGCTGCCCCCCTCCACCCCTGTCTGCTTTGATTTTTGCCTTTAAGAGCCCCTACTTCTGGGCCAAAAGATCGTAGACCCAGTAAGGCACTTGCCTTGCACAACGCCAACCTACATTCAATTCCCAGTATCCCATGTGATTCCCCAGCACTGAGAGTGACCCTGAGTGCAGAGCCAGGAATAAACCCTAAGCACCACCCTGTGTGATCATCTCCCTGGCCACACCCCCCAGACAAAAAAAGCACCCTTCTTCCTCTGTTACTGAATGTGTGTGGGGGTGAGGGCGCATGAATTTTCATTTTACACAAACACATTGTTTCCCTGTGTTTGCAAACTGCTGCTTGCAATCAAAGGCTTTCATTTCGATCCCCAAATGCAGCCACGGATGGGCATCTGGGGTAGGCTGCTTGCCTGTTTGAAGTTCGGGTTCGATCCCCTACACCGGATAAAAAGAAGAAAAGGAAAAGACCCCATGGACGGTTTTAAGATTTGACCCCAGGGGGCTGGAGCGATAGCACAGCGGGTAGGGCATTTGCCTTGCATGCAGGCCGACCCAGGTTCAAATCCCAGCATCCCATATGGTCCCCTGAGCACCGCCAGGAGTGATTCCTGAGTTCAGAGCCAGGAGTAACCCTTGAGCATCGCCGGGTGTGACCCAAAAAGAAAAAAAAAAAAAAGATTTGACCCCCCAGATTTATTCCCCTTTGGTCTACACTTTCCTGCCTCTGCTCCTGCGCTCCTCGCTGCCAGGAACGAGTTCCCTCGAGTCTGCAGGAGCGAAGGTGTAACTCGACTTGCAAGGCGAGCATTTAGGTGCCCTCCAGCCCTTCCTCATCCCCTCGGCCGCGCGGCTGCTGCTGGGTACCACATGCATCGCATCCTTTTACCAGAGCGCACATCGCTCTGCAATTTCAAGGCCGGCGAGTCGGCCCCGCTCCCAGAGTGCGCATCACTCTGCAATGCCAAGGCCGGCGAGTCGGCCCTGCTCCCCGAAACCCAGCAGACGGAGGGAAGGATGAATTTTCTTCCCCAGTCCCGGCGCCCAGAGGGGAACCGCATCCAGGAAACGTACAGTACGACTTAGGGCCGTGTCCCACGCCTGTACCCAAGGGAGGCGCGGGGGAAAAGATTTCAGACGAATAAGTGAGGCTATTCTCGACCAGGTTCAGATTTGCTGGGGCGGCAGGACCCCAACCGTACCCAAAGCAATTCACCTACCGGAAGTTTTCTTCTCCACCATAGCCACAACACAGCGGCGGGGGAAAAGCCCACCGCGCACGCGCGCTAAAGCCCCGGACCGGGTCCGGGCAGCATCACTTCCGGATGCGTGGATTCCTGCGCGTGCGCAGAGCAACTCGCAGCGGTCACTCTAGATAGACTGTTCCCTTGGAAACGAGAACGCTTTCCCGCCATCTTTGATAAGGGCAAGTCGACTTCCGGCCTTAGTGGAGCTGGGTGCTTTGCGCGAACGCGCACCCTCAGCTGCATCTCCCCCAAAATAGGTGTTTTAAAGAGGTGGTGCGAGAAACGACATATTTTGGGGGGGACCTTCTGGAGACGCTATGATCACAAAGCCCACCGCCCCACCCAGCTTGTCCCTGGCGCAGGAGAGACGATGGGCCGGACCCTGGAAAGTGGGCAGGGCCGAGCTGGCAATCCGAGACGTTCGTGGGGGGACGTTCAGCCCAGGGCTCAGCCTCGCGCCCTCCCGGGCCCAGACGTCTGGGCGTCGTGCCTCGCCGCCCGCCGCCGCGTCCCCGCCCCGCGCGCCCCCGCTGCGCCCTCGGGTTTTCCGCCGGCGGCTCCGGGCTGGGCGGTGGCGAAGACCCGCCTCCGTGTCCCGCCGGACCCGCAGAGGGTCACTTCCCCTCTCAGGTTTCGGTTTCCTCGTGTGTCCCGTGGGCCCGCTGACCCCGATCAAAGTCCTCCTGGGCGGCCGATCGCCGGCCGGACCCCCAGCCAAGCGCCCCGCACAGTCCTCGCTGGGTGAGCCGCGCCGGGACCCAGCCGCCGCGCCTCGTCTCCAGGGCGGAGCCCGCGCCGCGCCCGGGCCCCGTCCCTGAGCCCCTCCGTGGCGCCCCGACCCCGCCATGGCTCTCCCGGGCCGGGGGTGCCGCCTCCTGCTGCTGCTGCTGCTGCTGGTTCTGCCGCCGTCTCCCGCGAGCTCGACGTCGGACCGTCCCCGGGCCGGCGACCCGGTCAACCCAGGTGAGAAGCCGGGACGGGCCCGGCGCGCGCCCAGGGCGAGCTGTGGAGGAAAAATGCGCCCTGCGCGCCACGTGGGTCCGCGGTTCCCACCCGGAGCGGAGGTTTCCAGGCTCCCCCTGGCGACCTGGCCGCCCCCCATCCCGCCCTCGAGGGGCACATTCTGGGTGACCCCCGCCGTCGCCCATCCTGCCCCCCGAAGGGCAAGTGTTTTAGGGAAAGGTGGAACAAGCGGGTAAGGGACAGGAGCGGGGACAGAGGGAGGGGACCCAGGGCCCATTCTTGGCTGATGACAGAGAAGCTGCTGGTGATCACCGTGGCCACCACCGAGACGGAGGGCTACCGGCGCTTCCTGCGCTCTGCCGAGTTCTTCAACTACACCGTGCAGGTGAGCAAGTGATGTGGGTTCGCTGAGACTGGAGGGCTGGGGCCCCATGGGGAGCCTGGTTTCAAAGGGCCCACCGGCTCCCCTGACCTGCCTGGCCCGCGGGTCCACCCCCGACAGACCCTGGGCCTGGGACAAGAGTGGAGAGGAGGTGATGTGGCTCGCACTGTGGGCGGAGGACAGAAAGTCCGGTGGCTGAAGAAGGAAATGGAGAAGTATGCGGACAGGGATGATATGGTCATTATGTTTGTGGACAGGTAAGGGGTGAAGGGACTCACCGGAAACAGGGGAGGTGGGGGCGCCGGAAAGGAGACTGAGGTTCCTAGTGGCCACCTGTTCCTTGCCTCCTTCCCTGCCCAGCTACGATGTGGTTCTGGCGGGCAGCCCCTCAGAGCTGCTCAAGAAGTTCATGAAGAGCGGCAGCCGCCTGCTCTTCTCCGCGGAGAGCTTCTGCTGGCCCGAGTGGGCGCTGGCCGAGCAGTACCCAGAGGTGGGCACGGGGAAGCGCTTCCTCAACTCTGGTGGTGAGTGGTGGGATTGGGGGGGGAGTGTGGACTGCCCGGAGAGGGAGTGGGGAGCTTTGGAGAGCCTCAGGAGCCAACCGATCCCTGACCGACCCCTGCCCCGCAGGGTTCATCGGCTTCGCCCCCACCATCCACCGCATTGTGCGCCAGTGGAAGTATAAGGATGACGATGATGACCAGCTGTTCTACACACGCCTCTACCTGGACCCGGGACTACGGGTAGGAGCAGGCGGGCAGGAGGATCGGGTAGGAGCGGGCAGGCAGGAGGATCGGACGGAAGGAGAAAAAGTGGGGAAGTAACCCACCACCCCATCTGTAGATGCTTCATCCTTTGTGTTTGCTGGGGGTTTGGGGCCACGCCCGAAGGTGCTCAGGTCTTACTCCTTGAGGCCTCAGGAAACCCTGTGGGGTACTGGGGCATCAAACCTGGGCCAGCCACCTGCAAGGCAAGTGCCATCTCCACCGTACTGTCTGCCCTACCCCAGATAGTTTTAAAACCCACAGAAAAATGTCAAGGGCTGGAGATAGTCTGGCCCCTGGATCCCCTCGATGCAATTTGGGGAATCAAACCTGAGGTCCCGCGCGTTCAGGTTCAGCCCCCTGAACCTGCCCCCAGGCCTACAATGCATTTTCTTTCTCTAAACACCATCAAAAGTTTTTTTTTTTTTTGAGTTTTTGGGTCATACCCTGCGATGCTCAGGTTACTCCTGGCTCTGCACTCAGAAATTATTCCTGGCGTTGCTGGGGGACCATACGAGATACCGGAGATTGAACCCAGGAACCGTGTGCAAGGCAAACGCCCTCCCGGCTGTCCTATCGCTTCACCTCCCCTCCCCCCACCCCATCAATGCCATTTTGTAGAAGTTCCAGTTCTGAAGACTTAGCAGTTCTCCAAGCCCCTCGTGACCTTCCTGCCCTGTGTGTGGGGATCCTCCCTCCACCCCACACATGCTCCCAGCTCTTAGGTGTGTCTGGACAGGGGTAGAGGGAACACTTGTGAGGCCGCACAGGGCTGTGGGCAGCTACTTCCTGGCCCTCCCCCTGTCCCAGGCCCACCTCATCTTTGCCAGGAGAGCTGACCGCCGCCACTGGAGTTCGCGGCTGTGTTCACCCAGGAGTCAGGGGCTGTACCTTACCCGTTTGTTCTGCGCCTACTGAACTTTGAAGGGCTCCAGGGGCTCTGGCCTGGCCCTTCCTTCTGGGCTTTCCTTCTGCCCAGGCTCACCTGTCCGGCCCTGCCCTTTCCCCACTAACCGCTGCATCTCACCCCTGCCAGGAGAAGCTCAACCTCGGCCTGGATCACAGGTCCCGGATCTTTCAGAACCTCAACGGGGCTTTAGGTGAGAGAAGGGCAGCCATGGAGTGGGGACGGGGTGGGAGTGGGGGAGACATCCGCTCTGCTGCCAGGCCTGGTAGAACCGGGATCTGACTGCTGGCCTTGCTGGGGGAAGGCGCTCCTATGTCTTGCACATAGGTCCGGTGTTCCTGGCCACCGCGCTGGCTAGGGCCTCAGCAGTCGTGGCCCGCAGTGTGGTTCTGGGGTGAGGGAGCCTGAGGGGCTGCGCGCCCCTCCCCCGTGCGGGGAGCCGCGGGAGAGGATTCTGGAAGCCCATCTTTCTCCGCAGATGAAGTGGTGTTGAAGTTTGATCGGAACCGCGTGCGGATCCGGAACGTGGCCTACGACACGCTTCCTGTCGTCGTCCACGGGAACGGCCCCACCAAGGTGCCTGGGGACGGGACTGGGAAACCCCCACGCGCTAGCAGCAGAGGGGCCTTCGCTGACCCCCGTGGCCCTCCCCTGGCCACCTTCTCCCCCGTAGCTCCAGCTCAACTACCTGGGGAACTACGTCCCCAACGGCTGGACCCCAGAGGGCGGCTGCGGCTTCTGTGAGCGGGACCGGAGGCCACTGCCAGAGGGGCAGGTGAGGAGGGAGGCGGGGGCCGGGGTGGGGCCGGGCGGCTGGGTGGCTGGTGCCCGAACGCCCCCTGTGCCTTGCAGGCTCTGCCGCGGGTGCTCCTGGCTGTCTTCCTGGAGCAGCCCACCCCGTTCCTGCCGCGCTTCCTACAGCGCCTCCTGACGCTCGACTACCCGCCCGACAGGGTCACCCTCTTCCTGCACAACAGCGTGAGTCCCGCCCCGCCCCCGCCCGTCCCAGCTCCCCTCCTACCCTGCCCCTGCCCCGCCCAGCTGCCCCGCCCACCCCTGCCCCGCCCAGATGCCCTGCCCACCCTGCCCCACCCCCTGCCCTGCCCAGCTGCCCCACCCTGCCCCTGCCCCCAGCTCCTGCCCCGCCCTGCCCCGCCCAGCCCCGACCCTGTTCAGCTGTTCCGCCCTCCCCCTGCCCCTGACTCTCCCACATCTCCCGCCCCGCCCAGCCCCTGACCCACCCAGTTCCCCACCCATCCCGTCCAGCTCCCCCCTTCCCCCAGCCCAGCTCTGTGCCCGCCCAGCGCCCATCCCGCCTTGGCCCACCCACCTCACCGTCCCGCCCCCACCCAGCTCCCACTAGCCCCGCCCACCTCACCTGCCCCGGTTCCCACCTGCCCCGCCCCTGCTCCTGCCCCGCGCAGCTCCCCCCGCCCCACCTGAGCTCCCAGCTGCCCGCCCCAGCTCCTGCCCACTCTATCCCCGCCCCGCCCCGCCCCGCCCCACCCCAGCCCGGCTCTCCCACCCAGCTCCGTGCCCCCTTACCGCTTTGGCCCCACTCTGTCCCCAGGAGGTACACCACGAGCCCCACGTGGCCGCCGCGTGGCCGCAGCTCCAGGACCATTTCTCAGCAGTGAAGCTGGTGGGGCCTGAAGAGGCCCTGAGCGCCGGGGAGGCCAGGGACATGGGCCTGTGAGTGTCGGGGAGCCGGCCCCCAGTCCCCCAAGGGGCCTGTGAGTTGGGGGTGCCGGGGCCCCAACATGGCCCTGCGAGTGCACCAGGCCAGAGAGTGCCCAGTCCTGTGTCCCCTATCTCACGCGACCGCTCTGTCCCCTCCAGGGAGGCCTGTCGGCAGGACCCCGACTGTGACTTCTACTTCAGCCTGGACGCAGACACGGTCCTCACTCACCCGCAGACCCTGCGCATTCTCATCGAGGAGAACAGGTTCTGCACCCGCGCCCACCCCTCCCCCGTTCCCCCCCATTCCTCACCCTTTCACCCCCTCACCCTCCGCTCTGCCCCAGGAAGGTGATCGCACCCATGCTGTCGCGCCACGGGAAGCTGTGGTCCAACTTCTGGGGCGCGCTGAGCCCCGACGAGTACTACGCGCGCTCCGAAGACTACGTGGAGCTGGTGCAGCGCAAGCGAGTGTGAGCCCCCCCACCCCTCACCCCAGAGTCCCGGGGCCCTGGACGCCACCGCCCCCTTCCCACCTGACCGCAGCATGTCCCCGCCCAGGGGCGTGTGGAACGTCCCCTACATCTCCCAGGCCTACCTGATCCGAGGTGACACCCTGCGCACAGAGCTGCGCCAGAGGGACGTGTTCTCCAGCAGCGACAGCGACCCGGACATGGCCTTCTGCAAGAGCCTGCGGGACAAGGTGAGTGCTGGCAGCCCCTGGGGGCTCCTGGTGCGCCCCCCACACACCCACCCCACCTCTGCCCCGCCCCCACGCACCCACCCCGCCCCCACTCATCCGCCCCGCCTCTGCCCCTAGGGCATCTTCCTCCACCTCAGCAACCAGCAGGAGTTCGGCCGCCTCCTGGCCACATCCCGCTACGACACTGACCACCTGCACCCGGACCTCTGGCAGATCTTTGACAACCCTGTGGTGAGTGGGGGACCCGCACTCAGGATGCACACACAGAGCCGTGGTGACTGCACCGCAGAGAGGGCATTAGCCTCGCACGTGGCCCATCCAGGTTTCAGTCCTGACACCGACACCCTAGATGGTACCCGGAGCACTGCCAGGAATGATGCCTGAGCACCACCATCTATGGCCCCCAAACAAAACAAAACGAAGAAGAGATTTTTTGGGGCCACAGCAATAGTACAGGGGGGAGGGCGTTTACCTTGCACACAGCTGATCCGGGTTCGATTCCCAGCATCCCATATGATCCCCCATGTACCGCCAGGAGTAATTAATTCCTGAGTGCAAAGCCAGGAGTCAGCCCTGAGCATCCCCAGGTGTGACCCAAAAAGACAAAAGCAAACAATAAGATGTACACTGACATCCAAGCACACGGACCCACATAATATGCTTGCACGCATGACACATGCACACTTGCAGACACACACACATAAGTGCACACACAGATACAGATGTGCACACATCTGTCCTGGGCAGGCTCTGACCCCCGGGGGTGAGGGTGGCCAGGCTGGGCGCAAGGGATGACACAGGTGGCCGAGCGAGCCCACCCCAAGCTTCCTTCCCGCCCCCGCAGGACTGGAAGGAGCAGTATATCCACGAGAACTACACCCGGGCCCTCGAAGGGGAGGGGCTGGTGGAACAGGTGAGGCCTTCACCCACTGGCAGACAACACCCCTGCACCCCACTTTATGCACACCCCCCATGTCTCCCCGGTGTGTTGGGGGAATGACACGGGTGGAAGTGGAAACTGGGCTGGAGTGATAGCACAGCGGGTAGGGTGTTTGCCTTGCATGCGGCCAACCCGGGTTCGATCCCCAGCATCCCATATAGTCCCCTGAGCACCACCAGGAGTAATTCCTGAGTGCAAAGCCAGGAGTAACCCCTGTGCATTGCCAGGTGTGACCCAAAAAGAAAAAAAAAAAGAGTGGAAACTGTCTCACTGGGCTGTGGTACTTCCCTGGCCTTTGCGAGGGGGCTCCCATCCACACCGCTCCCCTCTGTGCTGGCCCAGCCCTGCCGCTCCCACAGGTGCGTCCCCACTTGTCTCCTCCTGTGGGTCCCCTCTGTGGGCACCCACCCCGCCCAGCACCCTGGTGTCCCCGCCCCTTTCCACAGCCGTGCCCCGACGTCTACTGGTTCCCGCTGCTCTCGGAGCAGATGTGTGACGAACTGGTGGAGGAGATGGAGGCCTTCGGGCAATGGTCCGGGGGCCGGCACGAGGTAGGGGGTCTGCAGGCGGGAGGGGCTACTGGAGAGTGGGGAGAGGGGTGACCCGCCTGCTTTCATGCACTCGGGAAATATCGCAGCAGCCACAGCCATGGGCAGACAGCGCGCGCACGCATGCGCACAGGGAGGGGCGTGGCTCAGCACCCACTGCCCACAGGACTCGCGGCTGGCAGGCGGCTACGAGAACGTGCCCACCGTGGACATCCACATGAAGCAGGTGGGCTTTGAGGACCAGTGGCTGCAGCTGCTGCGCGCCTACGTGGGGCCCATGACCGAGAGCCTGTTCCCTGGGTACCACACCAAGGTCAGTGCCACCCCTGCAGGCCGGCAGTGCAGGGAGCCCCGCAGCCCGGCCTGCCCCAACTCAGGTTTCCCGCCCCACAGACCCGGGCGGTGATGAACTTCGTGGTCCGCTACCGGCCGGACGAGCAGCCCTCCCTGCGGCCACACCACGACTCCTCCACCTTCACCCTCAACGTCGCCCTCAACCACAAGGGCCAGGACTATGAGGTGCGCATCCCCCCTCCTCCCTCACTGCAGGCATCCCCTGGGCTCCTCCAGGCCCGCCAACATGCCCCGGGACAGGCGCAGACATGTGCATGGGCTGGGCATGTGTGTGTGCTCACATACCCGCGTGTCATCCGTGGACACGCAGCGGTGTCTGTGCAGTAAATCAGCAGTTGGGAAGAGATGAACTTAAACACTATGGGACTGGGGCCTCCCAGGCAGCAGTTAGCTCCTGAAGGAAAAGAACAGGGAAGGGGGCCGGAGCGATAGCACAGCGGGTAGGGCGTTTGCCTTGCACGCAGCGGACCTGGGTTCAATCCCTGGCCTCCCATATGGTCCCACAAGCACTGCCAGGAGTAATTCCTGAGTGCAGAGTGCAGAACCAGGAATAACCCCTGAGCATCGCTGTGACGCAAAAAGCAAAAATTAAAAAAAAAAGGAAAGAAAAGAACAGGGAAGTCCATTTGCAGGAAGGGCAGGTCACAGGCGGGCACGCACAGGGTTCAAACCTTGCAAAAACACACAAACATGCATGCACACGTATGCACATGTATGCACACACTTCGCCTGCTGGCCGCATGTCCCTGCCCCCAAGCCCCCTCCCTCCCTCTCAGCCGCCTGGGTCTCCAGTTACTCTGCTTGTGGCTGGCTGGCTCCCGGGTCCTCCCCTCACTCGCTGTCTCTCCTGCCCAGGGTGGCGGCTGCCGTTTCCTTCGCTATGACTGTGTGGTCTCGTCCCCGCGGAAGGGCTGGGGGCTGCTGCACCCCGGCCGGCTCACCCACTACCACGAGGGGCTGCCCACCACGCGGGGGACACGCTACATCATGGTGTCCTTCGTGGACCCCTGAGCCTGGAACCCTCCACCACCTGCGGTGCCTTCTCCTCATGCCAGCCCCCCTACGCGCCTGGGATCGAATGTCTCGCCCCACGCCCAGGCCCCCCCGGAAGCCCCAGGGGTCCCCGCAGACCGCCCCCTCAGCTCTGAGGTTTGTTTCGGGGGAAATCGGGGTCCGGAGATCCCCCTGTTATAAGTTATTTTCTCAGCCTCCTGCCCAGTAAAAGGAGATTTGTAAACCTTCGTGCGTGTGAATCTTCCTGGGGTGCCCCGGCCTCCTGCCCCCACGGGGTACTGGGAGCTTCCCAGATTCCCGATGGTGTCTTCTCTGTGCACGGTGGTGGGGTGACCAAGTGCTGGGCTGGCCGGTGGGATGCACCACCTGCGGGGGCCACTGGCCCAGCCTCCTAGAGGCTCTGACATCTAATTCTTTGTTGGACCACCAGAAGAGAGAACTGGGAGGGTTGTCCCTGGAGAGCTCCCTGGAGGAGGAGGTGGTGATAGCACGTCTCACGGTCAGCTGCCCACAGCAGATCCCAGAGGCACCTGAGGGTGGATCGGGACCCCACACACACACTCACCCTCCCAGGCAGAAGCCACCCCAAACCAGCGGGCAGCCGTGATTCCATCCCTGGCACTGCAGGGTCTCCTGAGCATGGAGCTGGGAGGGGCCCCTAAGCACCATCAGGTATGGCCCTGGAACCAGAGAAAACGTGGCCAGTCTGGGCGTCACTGAGCCCCCACTCCAAACACCCTCTGAACCCCACCCCCACACCCTCAGGCCCCCCATCCCAATACTCCCTGGGCCCTCCCCCAGCACTCTCTGACCCCTCCCTCCCACCCTGAGACCCCCCCTCCTGCCACCCTCTGACCCCCTCCCTCATATCCTCTGAACCCCCCTTCCCGACATCCTCTGACCCTCCCTCCTGGTACGCTCCGGCGCCCTCCCCTGACCCCCCCTGTGTGGTCCGAGTAGGGGCTGAGGGAGACGCTCTCCCACACCCAGGCCTAGGGAAAACTCAAGGGCAGAGCGATAGGACAGCGGGTAGGGTGGGGAGGGCATCTGCCTGACACGCAGCGACCCAGGCTGGATTCCCTGGTACCCCATATGGACCCCCTGAGCCTGGCCCCTGAGTGCAGCGCAGAGGAAGGTCCAGGTTCCAGCAGCAGGTACTGGGACCCGTGTCCATGCCCAGGCGCCTCCACGGCTACAGCCCTTCAGCAGGGGTCCCTGGCAGCCAGGCAGGGACTCAGCAGGACAGCAGGTGACAGTTCCCTCCACCCCCCAGAAGCCTCGTGTCCCCGCCTTGACCCGGGTCTGGTGGAGGTTATGGGGGCGCCCTGCTCACCTCCACCCCAGCTGCGTCTACCAACCCCCCAGGCCTGGCCTCTGAGCCCCACCCACACTTCTCCCCAGCCACTGCACCTGCATCCTGACCCCCAGTGCTCCCTGCCATGACCTTGGGGTGCTCCATGGCAGGGCCCAAGGGGTGGGGGGTTGGAGCCTCTGCACCCACATAAAAGGTAGCCTGTGCCCATGACCATGAGCTTGCAGGCTGGTCACAGGGCTTTGGGGGCCCCTGTGTCCCCTCCCCAGGACCCTGAGTCTACCCAGAGACACACCAAGACCCCATGCCCAGGGGCTGGAGCGATAGCACAGCAGGTAGGGCATTTACCTTGCATGCAGCCGACCCGGGTTCGATTCCCAGCATCCCATTTGGTCCCCAAGCACCGCCAGGAGTGATTCCTGAGTGCAGAGCCAGGAATAACCCCTGAGCATCGGCTGGGTGTGACCCAAAAAGAAAAAAAAAAAAAAAAAGACCCCATGCCCAGCCCACAGGCTCCCCGGAACCACGCTTAACCCCCTAAAGTCCCGTCTCACTGCGAGTCCCCAAGTTGGGGTCACAACCTCTCGGGTTCCCCTCGAGGTTCCCTAGTAGTAGGGCCCGGGGTATCCTTCGCCTCTGCCAAGTGTCACTGCCCCTTTGTCCCTCTGCCTGGTGATGCAGAGGGGACAGCGGGCTTGGAACCCTCAGTCCATGCTCTTACCTCCAGCTGGAAGCTCCCGGGGTGCCCCCGCCCCGAGGAACCTTGGGCATGGCCCCCTATGCCTGTGTTGGTGTCTGGGCCTGCCGGGTGCCAGGGTCCAGCTCTGACCCAGGGGCCCCCCGATACTGAAAGCAGAGTCTGGAGCCAGCGAGAGGAGGGTCAGGGGGCCGGAGTGGGCGCCTGTGCAGTGCCCAGGGCATTGGGCTCCGCCCCCACCTCTGAGTCTTCCTGCGGTGCTAGGGCCAGGGGTTACCTGTGGCCTCTGTGGCCTCAGCCCCCGGACAACTACCCATGGCCCCAGGAGCTGGACCCTCAGGGTGACCCATGGCCACTGCTAGTGGGGCTCTGCCTCCCGCTGCACCCAGGCCCCTCCCCCACTGCTGTGACCCCCCCACTAGCCCTACTGTGACCCCAGCTCGGAGTCACAGGTGGACACACTCCAGGGCACCCTGGTGTCTGTGCCGCTGGTCCTCAGAGCCTACCTAGGCCTACTGGGGAGTCTTGGGGGTCAGGGGTGTAATGAAGGGGAACCCAGAGTACTGGTGTGAGTGGGGGAGGGGGGCGGCTGCAGGAGCCCCCGTGAGCACCAGGCCTGGCCACAGCCCGCAGACCTTGCTGGGCCCCTTTGCGAGACCACCGAGTCTGGGGCATCTCCTGGGGGTCACTGCAGGTCACACAGTCTCCGGGGGCCCCCAGGACGGGGTGGGACCAATCCTGGTTGTCTCCCCTGTCAGCACTGGGCACCCCCGCCCCCTCACCGCCGCACCCTCACCGGCTGACGGAGCAAGTTCAAAGATCAGGCGGAGAAGAAACGTGGACAGCAGCCGCCCATCCACACCGCGCCCGGCGGCTGCAAGGGCCCCCGGTGCCCCCTGAGCAGGAGCGCAGTTTGCCTGGACCCCCGCTGGCTGTCGGGATGGGGGACCCCACTGCTCCACTTCCCTCCCCTCCAAAATCCCTGTGGAAGTGGTTTCTGGACGCCCTGGGTGCCTACCAGTTCGTGCTGACCTTCCTGTTCATGGGTGAGAGCGGGCGCGGGCAGCCCCGGCCGGGGTGCAGGCAGCGGTGTCCGGGGATGGGGGAACCTACCTCTGCTCTGCCCGCAGGTCTGAGCTGCACCCTCCTCGCCATCTTCCTCCTCTTCACGCCGCTGTGGTCGCTGTCTGTCCTGTACGGGCTCTGGCTGGCCGTGGACTGGGACACGCCCCTCCAAGGTGAGCGCTGCGGGGCCAGTCCGGGCCAGGGGCTCCCCAAACTCCTCCCATCCCTCAGGGATTTTGTTCAGTCCTTCGGGGCCACATCCCAACAGGGCTGGGGCTGTTCCCTTCACGGCGGGTGGGGAGAGGTGGGGATGGATCAGCCCCCCCATCCCGTGTGTGGAGTCTGAGCTCCACTCTGCGCCCTCCTCTGCTCCCAGGCGGCCGGAGCTCCAAGTGGATCAAGAACTGGATCATTTGGGACCACCTGAGGGACTATTATCCCATTAAGGTGACAGTCACCCTCCAGAATCTGTCCCGTTCTCTCCCACAACACCCCCTCATCTGGAACCTGAGCCTGTGTTTGGGGGGGGGGGGGAACAGGCGGTCAGGAGCAAGCCCCCTCCCCCATCATGCCCTTTTTATTTATTTTTGGTTTGGGGTCACCAAGTCATCCTGGTGGGGTGGGGGGACCCTACTAGCTGCCGTGGATCCAACCCGGGTCAGTCATGTGAAGGCCAGCACCGGCCCCGCTGTCCGATCACCCTGGCCTTCCCTCGTGCCCTTGATCCCCTCCTGAGAACGGGGCTCTGGAGCCCGCCCAAGCTGACCCTGCCCACACTGTGTGCCCCCCAAGCTGGTGAAGACGGCTGAGCTGCCCCCCGACCGGAACTATGTGCTGGGCGCCCACCCGCACGGAATCATGTGCACGGGCACCGCTTGCAACTTCGCCACCGAGAGCACCGGCTTCTCCCGCCACTTCCCGGGGCTTCGTGCGTCCGTGGCCACCCTGGCCACCCTCTTCCGCCTGCCGGTCTTCCGGGACTACCTCATGGCCCTGGGTGAGCAGGCGGGAACCCCTGTCCTGCCGGGCACTAGCCTGGGCCCCGCCTGGTTCTCTGTGGGGCAGGCCCTGGGCCCCCCCACGGACAGTCATGGTCCCCTTCCCCCAGGGCTGTGCCCCGTGAACCGCCAGAGCCTGGATTTCCTGCTGTCTCAGGGCCAGCCGGGGCAGGCTGTGGTCATCCTGGTGGGGGGCGCCCAGGAATCCCTGGACGCAATGCCCGGGGAGCATCGCCTGACGCTGCGGAAACGCAAAGGCTTTGTCCGCCTGGCGCTGAGGCATGGGTGAGTGAGCCCCGGACACCGTGGGGGGTGTGGGGTGACACTCTGGGCGCCCAGGCATTGGGTCCCCAAGGCAGCACAGCGTGTCCCTGAGTTGGTGCACTGATGCCCCGTGGGCACGGAGCTTGGTGACCCCTGCAGGCCTGGGGGTAACCAGGGACAGCCCAGAAGTCAGGTGCAGCAGCATATCCTGACACCAGGGGCCGAGCACCCCCCAGGCCGCATACCCCCCCCATCCCTCCTGGCCCTTGGTTCTTTGTCCAAGTCGGTTGAGATTCCCTGGTGTCCTCCCCACCCCCCTGGCATGTTTTTTTACCTGCACAGCGGAGCTAAGCCCTTCCGGAGAGGCGAGTCCAGCAGGTGGGCACAGACACCACGGCCAGCCTGGTCCTGGAGCTCCCCCACCCCTGGCCCACAGAACCCCCACACTTCCAAGCCCAGGACCCGCCTGGGGGAAACGCCCTTTTGTTGCAGCTCCTCGTCCGTTTCCCGCCTGCTGGCTCCACCTCAGGGTGCCCTGGACCCGACGCCCCCTCACCTCCCCATCACGCCCAGGCCAGCGAATCTCACATGCCCCTCTGGGGAGTGAAAGGGGCAGTGAAAGCCCCAGAGAAACCCCCCACAGACAAGGAGGCATCCGGAGGGGGAGCCCCACCCGCGTGGTGGTGACGTCATCCGATGGCGTAGAGGAGTGACGTGTGGTGCAGTGACGTCAACCAAGGCCCCGCCTTCCCGGTTCCGGGAAATCCCAGCCCTGCAAGGGCCTTTCTTCCCGAACCTTCTTTCAGCTGGTTGGGTGCCCCAAGGAGTGCCGTGGGAGGTGTGAGGGAGGGGCTGCAACCCTCTGGGGGTCCCTTTGCTCTCGCCCCCAGGGCCTCGCTGGTACCCGTGTACTCCTTTGGGGAGAACGACTCCTTCCAGCTCAAGCGCTTCGCCGCCGGCTCCTGGCAGCACGTGGCGCAAACGGCCTTCAAGGACCTCCTGGGTTTCTCTCCCTGCATCTTCTGGGGGCGCAGCCTCCTCTTCCCACGCATCTGGGGCCTGCTGCCCCTACCCGCACCCATCACCACCGTGGGTGAGTCCTGGGCCCAGGGCAGGCGTGGGGGGGGGGTTGCCCCGCAGCCCTGCCCACTGACTCTCTCTCTCTCTCTCTCTCTCTCTCTCTCTCTCTCTCTCTCTCTCTCTCTCTCTCAGTGGGCCGCCCCATCCCGGTGCCCCGGCGCTACCAGCCCACCGAGGCCGAGGTGGACCACTATCACCAGCTCTATATGGACGCACTGCAGCGGCTGTTCGAGGAGCACAAAGCCAGTTGCGGTGTCCCTGCCTCTGTGCAGCTCACCCTGGACTAGCCCAGCCTTCTTCCTCCCGACTTCTCCCAATAAAGCTAGTTCTCTCTCCCGCGGGAGAAAGGGGTGCCTTGGAGTTTGTGCTCTTGGGACCGGAGGCAGGGCGCTGGCCTAAGCCCACGTCTGACCCAGGTTCGATCCCTGGCACCCCATGCATGGTCCCCAAGCACCACTAGGAGGGATCCCTGATTGCAGAACCAGGTGGAAGCGTGGAGCACTGCCAGGTGTGGCCCAAAAAGCAAAAAATAAAAATAAGAATCCGTGCTCTTGCTCTAGAGGGATCCAGCCCAGGCAGTGAACCTGGACCAGGGGGTGCAAATACTCGGAGACTTCCGGAACACAGGTCAGGTATCACTGTTTGGGGATGTGGGACTTTGTCCAGGTCCTGATCAGTGCCATCTCGCTCACAGAGGTGGATTTTTATATGGGTCACCTCAGCTGTGCTCGGGGTTCAGGTCCACTCCCATCTGTACTGCATCCTGCCGTGTTGGGGAGAGTGGGGGCCATGTGGTACCCGGGACTGAACGTGGGCCTCACCCCTCTCAGGCACATCCTGGACCCCGCAGAGGTGGTGGTAACCTTGAGGTTGTGGTAAAACCCAGCAAACCTGGCACTAGTCACGGGGTTCAGCCGACTGAGCACCAAAAATGCTTCTATTGGGGGTTGGAGTGATAGTAAAGCAGGGAGGACTTTTGCCTTGCACATGGTCAACCTGGGTTTGATCCCCGGCATCCCATTTCGTCCCAAAACACTGCCAGGAGTAATTACTGAGTGCAGAGCTAGGAATAACCCCTGAACATCACCAGGTGTGACCCAAAAATCAAAAAAAAAAAAAGTGCTTCTGAAATGAGTGAGGTGCCCGGGGTGAGAAGCACAGGGTTTGGTGCTGAAACTCAGAACTCACAGATGCACAGTCACACACAATCACACAAACACAATCATATACTCACAATCATATACTCACAAACTTAGAACTCACAGACACACAGTCAAGCACAATCATATACTCACAATCACAAACTCACGTTCAATCGCACATACGCAACCACACACATACACAATCATACACTCACAATCACACAGATACACATCCACAATCACACATACACACAATAACACACACATACACACATTCATACACACACTCATATACACCACACACTCATACACACACTGTCTCACACACACATGCACTCATACACACCACACACAACTCATGCACACAGTCACACACATACACACTCATACACACTAACACACGCATCTATACTTAACACACACACACAATTGCTTTGGAGCTTCTGGGGCAATGTAGGTGCTGAGAGCAAGCAGAGGCAGATTCGTAGACTACGTGATGGTCCCACAGCCAAAGCCATAGAGGACTGTCCCTGAGCCACCTCTCCCCCTGTTGTGTTGTGTGTGTGTGTTGTGAGGTTACCTGTGCTGGCCTTACACCGCCTCGTACTGGGGTGGGGGGGGGGGGGGGGGCTTCCCCCCTGCCATCCTCCAAATGGCCACCAGAGGGCGGTCTCTACTCACACGCGAACCTGTCACTCCCTGCAGACCCTGAGCCAGAGGATGCCAGGGGCACCGCCCGCAGGGACGTGAGGGTGGGATGTGGGCGGGATGGGTGCAAGGAGCGGCCCCTCAGAGGGACGCAGGCAGCTGAGGACACTTGCCCCGCAAAGCAGACTGTCTTAACATTGGGTTCCCTTCTCTCCAGGAGCGGGGCTGGCCGGAGGGGGGCAGGGAGGGGGGACCTTGTTCTCCTTATCATCACAGGGAAATAATCTCACCCAGGTCTCAAGGTTGCCTGGGGGGAGCTTCTGAAACACAGCACAAGTTCCACCTACAGGACCACATGTCCACAAACTTTGGAGGCAGCCGGACACCCTGTGACTCTCTCCAATGTCTGCCCTGACCTTCGAGTTACTTTAGAACTAACTCCAGATTCGTGTGACTTCAGAGATAGGACAGCCCGGAAGGCACTTGTCTTGCACACAGCTACCCCAGGTTTGATTCCTGGCACCCGATAGGGTCTCCTGAACCCCAGGAGTGATCCCTGAGCACAGAGTCAGCGTGTAGCCCAACCCCTTCACCCCCGTTTTTAAAAATTAAAAACATTTAAAGTTTAGGGGCAGGGATGTATTTCAGGTGTAGGACACATGCTTTGTATATCTAAGACTCTCCCTTCCCAGCACTGCCAGTGCATCTCATAACAATGAAGGTAAAATCAACCAGCTAATCCGAAAAGCTGGACAGAGCATGAATGCACTGAGTGTGCTGGACCTTTTGACCATCTTAAGCAGGTCACATCCATGAGTTCCTAACGGTGCAGAAAACAGCCCCTGATTCCAGCCAAAGGATGCCAGGAAACCAACTCATTATTCTGAACAGTAGCCTAAGAAAAGGTCAAATACTTTATAATGTCTTTCCTTCACAAATGTTTCCGGGTGATTATAGAAAGAGGGGACAAGTTTCCTTTCATAGAGTTTCCTTGCTACTAAGGAAAAAAGAATAAAAAACATCATTATCTTGTCTTCTTGTGTTCCTAATGTCTGGCTGGACTTAAGTCTTGAGTGTCAGTGTCTGATAAGGGGGCAGAGTCATAATACAACAGGGCAGGCACTTGTCTAACGCAGCCTATCCGGATTCTATCCCCAGTATCCCTCATCGAGTCCCCAAGCACCACCAGGAGTAATAGTTGAGTGCAGAGCCAGGAGTAATAACCCCTGCACACTGTCAGGTATTGCCCCAAAAATAAAAATAAATCAATGCCTGATAAGATAATTCCTGTAAGACAATCCGATTTGAGCTCCAGTAGAAGAGTACAGCGGCACACAGCCCTTCTCTGCTAGAGAGAGAGCAAAGGGTGAGGGATCAAGCACTTGCCCTGTGATCTGCTGCCCCTGATTTGAATCTCTAGCATTGAATATGGTCCCCCAAGCACCACCAGGCGTTATTTCTGAGTGCAGAGCCAGGAATAGCCCCCAGCATCATTGGATGTGTGCCCAACCCAGAAACCATCCCCAAACCCTCTACCCTGGAAAGTGAAACCTGACTCTCAGCAAGAAAGCTATTGTGAGATCATTTACACTTATCCACTTTGAAAAACTCAGGCTCCAGGGTAGGCTCGAGCCTTGCCGGGGTGGCCCAGGTTCAAACTCCAGCGCAGCATAGCCCAACGGGAGGGGCCCCCAAGACCATCCCAAACCACAGAGCCACTGCCACCTGTGGCTCCAGAACAGAGAAGTTTAAAAAGGGAATGTCCTGCCACAGAGGCAGGGTGGAATGGGGGAACTGGGGGGTGGGAGGGATACTGGGATCAGTGGTGGTGGAGAATGGGCACTGGTGGAGGGATGGATATTCGATCATTGTATGACTGAGGCCCAAGCACAAAAGTGTGTAAGTCTACAACTGTACCTCATGGTGTTTCACTAATAAAAAAATTTTTTTTAAAGTGAAAAGAGGGGCTGTAGTGATAGTACAGTGGCGTTTCCCTTGCATGCAGCTGAACTGGTTTCGATTCCCAGCATCCCATATGGTCTCCCAAGCACCACCAGGAGTAATTCCTGAGTGCATGAGCCAGGAGTAACCCCTGTGCATCACCGGGTGTGACCCAAGAAGAAAAAAAGGAAAAAAAAGTGAAAAGAGGGGCAGAGCAAAACTACAGTGGGGAGGGCTCTTGCCTTGCACACGGCCTACCGAGTTTGATCCCCGGCATCCCATATGATCCCCAAAGCATCACCAGCAGTGATCCCTGAGTGCAGAGCCAGAAGTAAGCCCTGAATGTCTGAGCCTTTGGCCCTTGAGACTGGACTCCTTTGATCGATGACCAGTCCGGAGGCCAGAGGGGAGGGGAGGGGAGGGCATTTGCTGACAAACAGTTGGCCCAGGCAGGCTCTTTCCCTGGCATTCCATAGGGAGGGTCCCCTGAGCCCTACCAGGAGTGATCTCTGAGCACAGAGCCAGGGCTAATCCCTGAGAACCACTGAACGTGGCCCCCAACCAAACAAAAATGCCCAGTCCAGTGTCACTTTCCCTGGGGCAGACACAGATCACTGTCACTGAGCCATCCAGAGTGTCCATCCACTCCCAGGTTGTGCTGGACTTAAGCAGGCCACAGGGCTCCGAATCACCTGGCGCCATCCCTGCATGCAGCTGACCTGGTTTTGATTCCCAAGCATCCCATATGGTCCCCTGAGCACCACCAGGAGTAATTCCTGAGTGCTTGAGCCAGGAGTAACCCCTGTGCATCGCTGGGTGTGACCCAAAAAGGAAAAAAGAAAAAAAGTGAAAATAAGGGCAGAGCAAAACTGCAAACAAAACAAAAATGCCCAGTCCAGTGTCACTTTGCAGTGGACCAGACGACAGCTCAAAGGGTTCAAGGGGCCCTGGGTTCTGTCTCAGGCATCGCATGGTCCCTTGAGTGCAGCCAGGAGACATCCCAAACTCTGAACTGAGAGTAGCACCCCCCTGAAGGGTGGATCCCAAATCAATACAAAGATGAAAGGGCTGGGAGGAATCAGCACAGGATTAGGGACAGGGACCTGGGCCCAGGTGTTTGGTTTGGTTCAGTTTTGATTTTTGTGGAATCACAGTGAGGTGGGGCTGGAGTGATAGCACAGTGGTAGGGCGTTTGCCTTGCACACAGCCGGCCTGGCCGAGCCGGATTCGATTCCTCCCCGCCTCTTAGAGAGCCTGGCAAGCTACCCGTGATGTATCCAATATGCCAAACACAGTAACAACAAGTCTCACGATGGAGATATTACTGGGCCCGCTTGAGCAAATCGATGAACAACGGGAGGACTGTGACCGTGACCGTGACCATGACCACAGTGAGATACACAGTTTACACAATTACAAAGTTGTTCATAAATGGGTTTTGATCCTGTAGTGTTCCAATACCCCAGGCCCAGTTTGATCCCAGTTGCAACCATGGGTAGGTCTAGAGGCCATTGGAGGCCCTAAGAATGAGGAGTTGGGCCTGGAGGCCACAGGGCATACCTGGGGTATCCAGACTGCAGGACCTGCGCAGGCTGGCCAGTGCTCTCTGTGCTGTGCTATCACTCCAGCCCTAAGAAGCGGAAGTTTGTGGAGAATAAAGAGAGGAAGGGCTCTCTCTCCTTTTTTTTTTTTAATTTTTATTAATGAAACACCATGAGGTACAGTTGTAGACTTACAAATTTTTGTGCTTGGGTTTCAGCTATACAATGATTGCGTACCCATCCCTCCACCAGTGCCGATTCTCCACCACCACTGATCCCAGTATCCCTCCCACCCCCCATCCCCCCCGATTCTACCCTGCCTCTGTGGCAGCAGGGCATTCCCTTTTGTTCTCTCTCTCCTTTTGGGTGCTGTGGTTTGCAAAAGAGGCATTGAGTGGCAATCATGTTCAGTCTATAGTCTACTTTCAGCATGTATCTTCCATCCTGGGAGGATCCTCCCAACACCCTTTACTTGGTGCTCCCTTCTCTATCTGAGCTGCCTTTTCCCCTAGCATATGCGGCTGGCCTCAAAGCCATGGGGTGAACCTCCTGGTACTTATCTTGGCTATTCTTTTTTTTTTTTCTTTTTGGGTCACACCCGGCGATGCTCAGGAGTTACTCTTGGCTCTGCACTCAGGAATTACTCCTGGCGGTGCTCAGGGGACCATATGGGATGCTGGGATTTGAACCTGGGTCGGTCACATGCAAGGCAAACACCCTACCCGCTGTGCTATCACTCCAGCCCCTATCTTGTCTATTCTTGGGTGTTAGTCTCCTATTTTGTTACATTATATTCCCCAGATGAATGCAATCTTTCTATGTCTGTCCCTCTCTTTCTGACTCATTTCACTTAGCATGATACTTTCCATGTAGTACCACTTGTATGTAAATCTCATGACTTCATCTTTTCTGACAGCTGCATGGTACTCCTTTGCGTAGATGTACTAAAGTTTCTTTAACCAGTCATCTGTTCTCAGTAAGGGAATGCCCTGCCACAAAGGCAGGGTGGGATGGGGGATGGGGGGATGGGAGGGATACTGGGATCCGTGGTGGTTGAGAATGGGCACTGATGGAGGGATGGGTACTCGATCATTGTATAACTGAAACCCAAGCACAAAAATTTGTAAGTCTACAATTGTACCTCATGGAGTTTCACTAATAACAATTTAAAAATAAAGAAAAGAAAAGAAAAAAAAGAGGAAGGCTTTGTACCCATTCTGTTGACCAGAGAGATCTCTCCTCTCAGCTCCTGAGCCTGGCGGCTACTGTATGACTAATGCTCACCTCCTAGCTGCCAGGCTGGGCTAGGGTACCCCAACATTTCTAGGCAGATATTTGAGAACAGTGTCTGACATTTCCCTGGTCTGCCCCGCAGCTCTGGGCATCTTTTTTTCTTTTTCCCTAGGTTTTTTTTTGTTGTTGTTGTTGTTGATTATCAACTAAGTTTAAGATTGAAAAGAATGTGTAATAATCACCTTATTTTTTTAAAAGATTTTATTATTAAGAGGCTGGAGAGATAGCACAGCGGGTAGGGCGTTTGCCTTGCATGTGTACAACCCGGGTTCGATTCCCAGCATTCCATATGGTCCCCTGAGCACCGCCAGGAGTAATTCCTGAGTGCAGAGCCAGGAGTAACCCCTGTGCATCGCCGGGTGTGACCCAAAAAGCAAAAAAAAAAAAAAAACGGTTTTATTATTATTATTATTATTTTTTCTACGGCCGCAAAATTTTATTTGGCTTTCTGGGACAGATACATTTGCTTGATATTTAATAATACAAAAAAAGTCACATACATTCATTTCAAGAATTACAATATAAAAAAATATTCAACTCGAGAATGACTTTCAACATCTCAAGGGAAGGCACCACCTCAGCCCTGCGAAAGGTTCAGACTTGGGATTCAGGGGTCTTGGGAGTGAGGGGGGTTCTTTGGCGTCTTCTGGAACTTGCTCTGTAGGAAAACTCTGGGGACACACAGGCCTTCCTTCTTATTCACGGTCTCCCGAAACACGTACTCGTTCACCACTTCTTCATAATCTGCATCCCTGAAGAGTCGTGCCAGGAATTCGGCAGTGAAAAAATATGATCTGGTTCCGTCCTGGCGCACGTAGAAATTCTCTCCAAGCTTGCTGCCGGCTTTAAACCTGAGCATGGCGTGGTCATTGAGCCCATAGTCGCGAAACAACACTTTTACCTGGTTTCAGTACCTTGTAAATGTTCTGTAAGACACGGGGCATCTTCTCTGGGTGCACAGCTGAGAGCACAAATATCAGCGTAACCACATCCACTGAATCCGGGGGGACGTGCTCCGGAAGGTCGTCTTTCGTCAGGTCACAGTGGAATGCCCTGCATCTTTCGGTGCTGTAGAGAGGATTCTGCTTGACATACTCTACTGCTCTTGGAGAAAAATCACAGGCATAGGCAAAGATATTGGGATCTTCTTCCAAAAGAGGGAATAAACAATTACCAACACCACAGCCAGCTTCAAGTATAATCAACTTTTGATCTGCAAACTCCCTACACGATCTTAGCTCCTCAAACTCTCTGGTGGTCCAGTGTCGATCTTTGAAAAAATTAGTACTATTTCTCTTGTAAAAAAGATCCCAATTCTTCTGCACCTCTTTCTCCAACTTTTGCTGTTTAAAATCAGATACTACGATCTGGTCTCTTTTCAGTTTCTCCTCTTCTTCTGAGCTGAGAATCCGTGCCTGCAGGTCTTTCCTTTGCAGAGAAACCATCTTACAATGTGATGGTAAGTCATTCAACACCACTGAAGATGCATAACTAAGGAACCCAATCTGAGAGCAGACAGTGTGTTCTTGGAGGTAGTTCTTAGGCTGGGTTGGTGTACAGCTGATGTGGCACCTGGTGCTTGCGGGACAGAGCCCACCGCACTCATCCCTTAGCCGGGTCCATGCCGTGGCAACGGAAAAACGGTTTTATTATTAAATCAGTGAGATAGATCTATACAAAGCTGTTCATACTAGGTTTCAGTGATTCAGTGTCCAACACTCATCCCTCCTCCAGTGCACATTTCCCAGCACTAGTGTCCCCAGTTTCCCCTCCTTTCCATCACCTTCCCTTCTCTCCCCAGCTCTGGGCATCTTTATTTATTTATTTTTGTTTTTTGAGTCACACCCGGCAATGCACAGGGGTTACTCCTGGCTCTGCGCTCAGGAATTAATTACCCTTGGCGGTGCTCACGGGAACCATATGGGATGCTGGGAATCAAACCCGGGTAGGCTGCATGCAAGGCAAACACCTTCCCCCTGTGCTACTGCTCCAGCCCAGCTCTGGGCATCTTTGAGGTGAGTGAGCCCTTGGCAGTTCCTGGCTCTGTGGGGCTTGGAGAGTATTGAAACTCTCTTTGCCCACAAAGACTGTTTATGTTTTCTGGCTGAGGAAAATTGTTAACTCTGGCCCTATGCTGGCCTCTTGGCCTGTGAACAATCGGAAACAGTCACTCTTCGTCTCTGAGACATCGCAGAGCACAAATGCTATGAAAGTAGCAGCAGAGGGAGCTGGCTCGTAGGGGCGATAGGATGGAGTGTCTGCACAACTGAACAGGGAAACTGAGGGAAACTGAGGAAAACTCTTATATTCAGGTCCTGGTATGGAATCTATGGCATGGTTGGTTGAATGTCTCTGGGAGAGACCTCTGAGGGCCCCAAACAAACAAAACAAACACTGTCCTCCCATTGTTCAGCGATTTGCTCAAGCGGGCCCAGTAATGTCTCCATTTTGAGACTTGTTGTCACTGTATTTGGCATATCAACTACATCACGGGTAGCTTGCCAGGCTTTGCCATGCAGGCGAGATACTCTTGGTAGCTTGCCGGGCTCTCCAAGAGGGGCGGAGGAATCAAACCCGGCTCAGCCAGGCTGTCTGCGCAAGGCAAATGCCCTACTGCTGTGCTATCACTCCAGCCCATCTGAGGGCCCCAAGGGATAATAAATACCATGGTCATGCTCCTTGAGTATTTGGGCTCACGCATACCAGGCTGCAGTGTCAACAGTGGAGCTGCCGGGATGGCGCCTGGGTGTACGTGGGGCACCAGGGATCAAACTCAAGGCCTCCCGCCTTGTAAGGCAGGTGCTATCAACTTTGAGCCGTCTCCCCGCCCCCCTTATGCTATAATTCTGGGAGCGGCTCCAAGGTAACAGTGCGCTCCCTGACTTTGGACTGTTTCCGACACTTTTTCCTTCGGCCTCTTTCTTTATCTGCAAGACGAGCTGGGAGTGCTGAATGACAGAAAGCAGACAGGATGCCAGCCCAGTGCCTCGAAAGCGCCTTTCATTTCACTGTTCTTTTTGTGTGTGCTGAGGTCACAGCAGGCTGTTCTCAGAGGGCACCCCGGGGCTCTGCACTCAGGGATCCTATCTGGCTTGCTTGAGGGACTATAGGGGATGCTGGAGATCGAACCAGGGATGAAAGTGTCTGTTCTGGGGCTGGAGGGATAGCACAGTGGGTAGGCGTTTGCCTTGCATGCGGCTGACCTGGCTTTGATCCCCAGCATCCCATATGGTCCCCTGAGCACCGCCAGGAGTGATTCCTGAGTGCATGAGCCAGGAGTAACCCCTGTGCATCGCTAGGTGTGGCCCAAAAAATGAAAGAAAGAAAGAAAGAAAGAAAGAAAGAAAGGAGGGAAGGAAGGAAGGAAGGAAGGAAGGAAGGAAGGAAGGAAGGAAGGAAGGAAGGAAGGAAAGAAGGAAGGAGAGAGAGAGAGAGAGAGAGAGAGAGAGAGAGAGAGAGAGAGAGAAAGAGAGAGAAAGAAAGTGTTAGACGGAACAGTCTTCACCGCCGTCCTTCAAAGCCAAGTGGCGTTTCATTGGCCCAGGGAGACGTCTGGAGGCGGGACTTACCGTGAGATCTGGCTTCTGACTGGTCTGAACATCTGGCGAATTGTCCACTTCGACCGGGGCAAATGCTGGATTTGCATTTGCCCCAGTCGAGGGATTCTGGACCCAGAATGTTCTCCTCCTTGGAGCAGGTGGCCTGGGTGCCATGGTGACCGTGCCTCCTTTTCAACAACTTGGCGCTTCCTTCCGTATCTTGACATTTTAAAGCATTTTTCCCCATCGGTGAGATCAACAGTTTTCATACTCAGCGGGCGGGTGTAGGGTCCGGGAGGGCGCTGGCCCTGCAGGCGCCTGACTCTGGTTGGATCCTCGGCATCCCATACACCCTGAGCACCACCAGGAGGGATTCCCCAGTGCAGAGCCTGGAGTAACCCCTGAGCATCGCCAGGTGCGGCAAAAAAGCAAACTTCAGAGGGTGGAAATCCAGGACTCCAACTCTCCCAGTGGCTCAGCCAGTGACATTAATGTCTGGAGTCACAGTTGTCCCCGGGGAAGGTGTCAGGGTGTTAGTGGTGGGGGAGGGGGAGCCGCATTAGACCTTTCCTCCCTCCTACTGCTCCACCGCAGCCTGGCTCCCTCATGGTCGATGACCTCCAGCCACTGACCCCTACAGCTTGCATGTCCCAGTGCTGCTCATGACCTCTGAGGGGCTTAGTGTCCCCTGAGCTGGTACTGCCAGGAGACAGCCACCAGGTGCCCCCGGTTTCTGCCCTGCTGACCTCCGGCTTCGGTTGGGGTATCTTTTCTGCTTTCCCTGTTTCCAGAGTCTCGTTCCTATGACCCCCATTTCGCACCACCCAGGAAACAAGACATCTCAGCAGGGACATGGCAGGGAGTCCCCGCTTTAGGTCACTGGTCCTTTCCAGTAGCCAGAACACCCCTCTCAGTATTCCCCTATGGGGGCCCAGCCACGAGGCCCCAGCTGGACCTGAGTCTGCTCCACATCTGGGCGGGGTTTCCTTGGCACCATGGGGACCAGGACCCTCCGAGCGCCCCAGAGCGGGATCCCGCATGTGGCTGTGGCACAGACCCCATGACGGCCTTTGAACTCCAAGAGGAGACTCGATGGCACCGTGTGATGCCCACGAGGTACCCGAAAAGGACCCAGTGCCCCCCAGCCCCCAACATACCGTTGCTTTCTGTAACCCGACTTCCCCACCCGCCAGGTAGGGTAAGACGGGTATGGGCCAGAGGAAGTGGGGGCTAGAGCTTCTCCAGCCCCCAGAGGAGGACGGGGGCTTGGGGGCGCGGGGTTGGGGTGGAGCAGTGCTCTCAACCAAGTGACCTAGGTATTCTGACGTTTTTCTCACCAGCCCTTGTCTCACCACGTCTCTCACACCCCTCCCCAAAGTTGGGTGCCCAGGGGGGTGGTCGCCAGTCAAACGGTCAGCTATTTGGGGAACGCCCCTCTCACCCACTCCCCTAGGAAAAAACTTCAGGGCAATACCTTCTTCAACGACAGCGACCCTTCTTCGGAGTACCCCTCAACACCTCGTGGTCTACTTCCCCACTCCCTGACCCGTCCCTCTTGGTCACCCCTCCACCGCCAGGGCTAGTTTTCGGGTCTCTGCGCTCAAGCCGCCTCAGCCCCGCGCCCCGCCCCGCGCCCTGGGGACCAGGGGGCGGGGCTCGCCACTTTCTATTTAAGGGCACCGGGAGGAGGTGAGCGCGAGGTGCCACCTCGAGCGCCCACATCTCGCCCCGTCCCGCCTTTGTCTCTTTGTCTCCGTCGCACTCGGCCGGGCTCCCGGATCCTTCCCGTGCCGCCCTCCAACCCCCACCCCGAGTGGCGGCCGACCTCACGCGCGGGCTGCAGTATCTCAGGTGTGTGGGGTGCGGCGGCGGGAAGTGGGGGGGTTCCGGCCGGTGGTGGTCCTGGTTTGCCGTGCTCCACGCTGAAGAGCCCCGTTCCTGCGGATGGTCTGGGGAGAATGAGAGGGGAGGGTCAGGTCGCAGCCGCTGCCCCTCTGCGGGGTGCCTGGACCAGGTCCCCCGCCCCCCTCCCATAGCGCCCCCAGAGTCTCAGGGACCTCTGTCTGGACCCCTAAGGGAGTGAGCCCGCAAGAAGAGTCCAGGGTGTGGGTGCTGGGCCAGAAGATCCGTTAAACCAGCAGGGAAGGGACCCGCTTTCATTTCAGTGCTTGCTGGACCCCAGGTTTAAGAATCTGCTCCCAGCACCACCAAGGGAAGAAGCAAAGATAAATGCCTAGAAAGGGAATTGAATTACTGACTCTTCCTTCCCTGTGAGTTTGGGGACTGGCACCCTCTTAAAATAATCCCAGGGGGCTGGAGCAATAACATAGTGGGTAGGACGGGTTTGGTTCCCAGCATCCCATATGGTCCCCCCAGCACCGCCAGGAGTAACTCCTTAGTGCATAAGACAGGAGTAACCCCTGGGCATCGCTGGGTGTGACCCAAAAAGCCAAAATAATAATAATAATAATAATAATAATAACAAAAAACCTGAAGACATCCTTTGGGATGGGCTAGCAGGGCAGAGAGGAAGGGGTGAGGCTACTGGTGTGATGCATTCACACCACAACATTTTCCCATTGTGACCCCTTAGGGGAGCTGGGATTTCCCAGCATCAGATAGCTGGGCGGTACCTTGATGGTCCTCATCACCCACAGAGCTGGGCACCAGCAGTGTCCCAGCTGAGTTTACAGCCTGTGTGTGTGTGTGGGGGAGGAGGGTCCTCTGCCCTCGCTCTGCAGGCTGGGTGTGGGATAGCTTCAGCAGCCTCCCTGCCCGCCTGGGTTCCAGAACTGTCATTTCTACCTTCATTTCTAGTTCTGCTGCATCTGAGTTGCCCTGAGCAAATCTTCACCCCCTGGGGCCTCACTCTGAAATCTGGGGAGTTCCAGGGTTTGGGTTGGCCCCCAGGGCTCTCTGGGACCAATGCGGACACCCAGCCCCTACCACCTCCGTTTCTAGGATTAGCTGGGAGGGTGCATGTACATTCACACCAGTGAGAAGGGGCTCGGTGCAGGTCTGATTTTGAAGCCTGTTTGTAACTAGGCTGTGTTTACATAAGCGGTGCTGCTGACACAGCTGATACCACCTGTCCTCCTGCCCCAAACTGGGTCATGTTCTTGTTCAATTGATTTGAAGGGGGCGGAGCCAGGAGATCGCTTCAAAGGCACATGTTCAGCAGGTGCAAGGCCCCAAGTTCCATCCCTGGGACAAATTTGTTTTGTTCCTTTGCCAGGCGGGTGCGGGGGAGAGGGGAGGTGGAGGAGCACCTGATGTTGCTCAGGACTTACTTCTGGCTCTGCACTCAGGGATCACTTATGGTGGTGCTCGAGGGGTTGAACCCGAGTGGGCTGCGTGCAAAGCAATGGCCCTACCTATTGTATTCTTGGTCCAATCCAGCCCTGGACAAGGTTGATCCTGGGCACGGTATACCCTTCCTAGCACCACCAGGAATGGCTCTGGTGGTCCCCTGAATTTTGAGGCTTGATCAGTGCCACATTGTTGGGCCCCAGAGTGTCAAAACTTCCTTCTCAGTGGGCCCCTGGACTCTCCCAGCACTGCTTAGAAGCACCCCAAATAAAATCATATCCAAAAGTCAAACCAAGGGGGCTGGAGCAATAGCACAGAGGGTAGGGTGTTTGCCTTACACACGGCTGACCCGGGTTCGATTCCCAGCATCCCAATATGGTCCCCCAAGTACCGCCAGGAGTGATTCCTGAGTGCAGAGCCAGGAGTAACCCCTGAGCATTGGCTGGGTGTGACCCAAAAAGCAAAAAAACAAACAAACAAAAAAAAGTTTGTCTTAGTCTCCACCAAGTGGCTGGTATGTGAGTCCCCAGTTTACTGATTAATGAGACCAGTGTGTGAAGGGAGTTATCCCTGACCGAAAGCCAGGGCAATACTTGGCTGACTGGGGAGAGCGATCTGAAGAGCTGATAGAAGAAGGAGTTATCTCTCTGACCCCATCTTTGGTTCTGAGGAGCCAGAGACCAGAGTTGACTGAGCCCAAAGGCAAACTTTGAGGAGCTGGAAGAGAAAGCCCACAGGAGAGATGGGGAAGCACTGGAAGAAAGACATGAAGCAGAAGAGGAAGCTGAAGAATCCCTCTTCAGGAATCACTCCGGGAAGAGCTCGCCACTATACATGGTGCCAGGGACTAAACTAGGGTTGGCTGTGTGCCAGACAAGTGCCTACCCCCTGCACTATCTCCCCAGTGCCCCAACAGGACCCACTTCAGAATGATCAGGACGTGGCTCAATGGGTTGGGTGCAGACTTTGCACGCAGGAGTCCCAACATGGCCTGGTCCCCAAACACTGCTAGGAGTGACCCCTGAGAACCAAGAGGGAAATAGCCCCTGAGGATGGCCAAGTCTGCCTACTCCGCACCCCCTCAGAAAAATGATACAAGAGGATCACCTACATTCAGTAGGGCTGAGACAAGAAGGGGCACTTCTGTTAGAGACTCTGATTTCCATACTGGGTTCTCTCTTTTCTGCAGAGGAAGGAAGGAGGAAACTCACTGTCAGGAGGTCGCTATGCCCCTGGATGAGGAGCAGGAGATGCCAGATTGGGGCTTCAGGCTAAGATGACTGATCCTACGGCGCGAGTGGGACCCTGAGACTGAGTCTGGTCCACATCAGGGCCTGGGGCAGAGGCCGAGCCTTGGACTTCGTGTTGGCCAATGCAGAATGCGATTTGGGCTTGATGCTGGAGTCTCCCGGGCAGTCTCCTGTGGCCTGGACTACCTTCCCGACCACCACCGTAGCTGGCTCCAGGATCCCCGGCAGAGCGATGAGAGACGGGGGAGCAGGGCCCGGGTGAAAAAAGGTCAGGCCACGTTTGGGGGCGTGGAGCCCAGGAACGAGAGGAGGCGAACCTTCCTCTCCCTCGTTGACCGAACTCACCCACCAAAAGGACCTGGAGCTCGGGGAATAAGCTCTCCAAGGGAATCCAGGGAAGAAGCAGCGGGGGCGTGGCCAGTTCCTGGGGGGGCGGGCCAAGGAAGTGGGCGTGGCTTGCCCAGGGACCTAATGAGCCTGCTGGAGTTGGAGCATCCGCGGAGATGGGAAAGACACCCCTCCCCTCCCCCCGCCCCCCCCCCCCCCCCCCCCCCCCGTTCATGATCGACCGTTCCTCCGGCTCTGGAATCTGGGATGCAAGTGTTGAAAAGTGCTCAGGAAGAAGAGGGAGAAGGCGAGCCCTGAGAGCTCCGAGCCGGAGGCGGGGAGGGGACCTCCTAATGGCCTCAGTCTGTTGGGGAGTTCCCTAGCCCTGGGAGGCACGGAAAGACCAGACAGACAACGTTCCTGCAGGAATTTAAGCGGGGTTTTATTCAGACCAGCATGCTGGGGCTCTGCAACATACCCAAGAGAGGGCAGAGGCTGGGAGCCTCGAACTCAGAAACAGATCACTTTTTTATGCAGTTTGAGAACAAAGACCACATATTTTGCACATACATGTTTTGCTAGATTCCTTGCGGTTTTTCTTGCAGTATTTCGACCCAAACATCTTGACCCGGTCACATAGTTTCAGTTTCCAGAATGGTCAAAACACTCTATCTATCTTTAAATAGTTATGCCTAGCCCATACCTTACACATCTACTGGGTTCAATCCAATTTTGTAACCTCAAGGCTGCTGAACTGTTTACAGAAAGCAATTTTTGCAAGTTAATTAACTCCTTTCTAGCCTTCCTAGCACCTTTCAAGTCCTCAGATTGCTCCGGAGTGCATGTGATGGATGAGGGTAGAGGGGCTTGGCGCCCTGGGAACGCGGCGAGGGTGAGGCCCGGCTGTTGCAGCGTGTCTGCTTGCAACTGGTCCAGGGACAGCACCCTGGGGTCAAGGTAGTCTGGCTCACCAGGAACGACTCCATGGGCCCCGGGGAGCTCAAGAAATACAGCCTGATCACCACGCTGGTGAGAAGGACGAGGGAGCTCTCAGGGCCAGACCTGTCCCTGGGTAATAGGGCCAGACCTGTCCCTGGGGGATTACCCGGGTTCTCCTGACACCCCACAGCCTGGACAATCACTGGCTCCTTCTCTACCACTTTTTTTTATAAGGTAGTTCACAACATTTGATTACATTTAATATTCTCTGCCACTTCTACCGAGTGGGGCAACCTGAGCTCTGCTCTGGACACCCAGCTTAATTCTAAACCCTTCAGCTCAGAGGTCAAAAGCTTCTGACTTCCAGCAGCAGAGTCCCCAAGAACTCAGGCATCCCCAGGCCCCCCGGGGCCCTATCTTCCTCCTTCTGCTGCCCACAGGAACTAAGTTGCATTCTGGAGTCTGTTCCTTTTTTCCTGCCTCCCCGCCGGGTGTGCCAGTCTCCCATTGCCCACTCCTTTCACTTTCGGGACACTGCTCCATACAGATCACCTTTCCGGGGATGCAGGGACCTGAGACCTGGCCCCTGACTCCCCAACACCCCACTCTACCTGCCCAAATCGGTTCTCCTGAGGAACCAGGTGGGGTGCAAGGTGGGAGTGGCTGTCTAGAGTCGCAAACCCCCCTTGCCAGCTTTTCCGCTGCCGTCCAGTGCTCACTAGTGCATCCCTCCCCCCCACCCCCAGGCATCCTTTTAGTCCAAATCAACGTTACTGTGCTGCGGGCCTTGGGGACCTCCTCAACTCTGCTCACCAAAGGCAGGCGGGAACTCCCGCTGTCGCCCTCTGTGCAAGCAAGATGTGTTTCCGGGTGGAACCTTCATCCAGGAATGTCCAAGCAAGAGTAACCTGGACTGCTGGCCACCAAGGGCCTAGAATGGCGTGTGGATAACTGCGCACACCTGTGCGTCTTCACACTGCATGCGTCTCTTCTCCATCCTGCACTTGGCATTGCCCCAGTGACCGATGCCTTGGGCAGGGACGGCTTCGCTAGCACCTACAGCGCCAGACCCTGCCTCAGTGTCATGTGCCAGCTCTTCCTGGCGCCCCAATTGTGGTCACAGCTGGCTGACTTTTCCTTGTGCCCAGTTGTGGTCACAGCTGGCTAGGTCGGTTTGGGATTGGAGCCGGTCAAGGGTTATACTGAATTGTACCTGTAGAGAACGATATCTATGAACAGCACTTTAGACCCACCCTTTCCAAAGAGCCCCGCCCCAAAATAGGCAAGTCTCTTCCAGAAACAGACAGACCCCGCCCCAAACCGGAATCCCCGCCCAGAAACGTGGAGGCACCGCCCCCGAAGGAAAGCCCCGCCCCTAATTAGACAAGCCCCGCCCTGCCTGGGCTCTGGGCTCCCACCACTCTGCTCACCCAGTGCGAGTTTCGCCTCCTTTCCCCTTTATCTTTTTTTTTCTTCCCTTTTTTGGGTCACACCCAGCAATTCTCACGGGTTACTCCTAGTTTTGCACTCAGGAATTACTCCTGGCAGTGCTCAGGAGACCATACAGGATGCCGGAGATCAAACCCTGGTCGGCCGCATGCAAGGCAAATGCCCTACCGGCTGTGCTATCGCTCTGGCTAATCCCCTTTACCTTTCTATCTGCCGGCTTGCTTATAGCGCCCTCAAGGGCCACGCCCTGACAGCTCAGGACGGCAGACTTGGGGGAGCTTCTTGCTTGGAGCTTGTCAGCCATAGTGGGTTTCCACTAGCCAAATCTCGGCAGTTCAACGTAGATTTCTAATCGAGACCCTACAGAGCCAAGAAAGACCCCACAGAGCAGTGGGGAGAAGGCCTGCTGTGAATGTAGCATAGGGTGTGGATGATCATTTTCGAGGGTATATACAGACACATTTATTTTATTCATTAAATAAAAATCAACCCATTAGGGGTTGGAGCGATAGCACAGCGGGTAGGGCGTTTGCCTTGCACGCGGCCAACCCAGGTTCGATTCCCGGCATCCCATATGGTCCCCTGAGCACTGCCAGGGGTGATTTCTGAGTGCAGAACCAGAGTACCCCTGTGCATCATCAGGTGTGACCCAAAAAGCAAAAAAAAAAAAAATCAACCCATTCTATGATCAAACCAGTTGAGGGAAGTTTGGTGGCTTCTTTCTGAATTATTTCTCTGGGGGCTGGAGAGATAGCACAGCGGGTAGGGCGTTTGCCTTGCACACGGCCGACCTGGGTTCGATCCCTCTGCGCCTCTCCGAGAGCCCAGCAAGCTACCCAGAGTATCTCGCCTGCACGGCAAAGCCTTGGCAAGCTCCCCGTGGCGTATTTGATATGCCAAAAACAGTAACGAGTCTCACAATTTGTTGTGAGACGTTACTGGTGCCCGCTCGAGCAAATCGATGACCAATGGGAGGACAGCGCTACTGTGCTTGCTTGGAGGGTGTCCACAGGCTGACCCTGTCTGTAGCCGGGACCAGGCTGAACTCTGGCTAAACGCCCCAGCTTCTCTCGTCTGACCCCTCGTGGCTGCAAGAGGCATCTGCGATAGAACCGTCTCAGCCGGGAGAGCCAGGTTTTGACTCAGGTGGTTCTCCTCAAGCCCCCAGACTACCTCTTTGCCGTGCTCTCAGCCTCCTGTACCTCTAGATGTCCTCTCCTTCCTTTTCTGGACCCCGTTAGGACACTTGAGCCCAGACCATCTGTTTCTTAGTTTGTTCTGCCTCTCCAGCCCCGCCCTGCCCCCACCTCTTTATGTCATAGGGAGAGACCCTACACATGTAGGGATGTACATGGGTGTACAGTGCTTTCACCACGCACCCTTCTGAGCCCGTCTCTCTCTCACCCTGGTTTCCTCCCACTCTTCATGGGAGTTTGCTGTTTGGCGGGCTCAGTTCCCAGCCCCCAGCCCGCAGCGGAATGTGGGCTGTCCAGCCAAAGAATCTGGCCAGAGGAGGGCAGGCCCCTCCAGTCAGAGCAGAACTGTCACTGGATTCTAACCCTGAGTCTTCTAGTGCGACCGGAACCCCCAGTCTCCAGCTATTTCTGCACACTACTCCCGTCCTCCAGTTGCTTTCTGCTGTTTTGCACTTTGAGGTCCTTTATTTGAAAGGCCCCAGTTCCAGCTGCCTCGGATCACACGGTTTCCTACTCTGGGTTGTCCTACTGCAGAGGGAGGGGAGAGTGCCTCAGCGATCAGAGTGACTCCCGCGTCACCAGCTGTACCCGGGAGCCTGGCAGAGCAGAGAATCCAGGCATCCCCGGCTGGAGCTAGCCTTCGGACCTCTGCCCCGGACGCTGGGAACTGGAAGTTTGGAACTTCTGGTTGGGCTGGGGGACTCACAGGCTCTGACGGGGCTGGAATTCAAGTCGTGAGCAGAGGAGGGCGCCAGAGGTGGGAGAAGGTGGGCAGAGAGAGAGAGAGAGAGAGAGAGAGAGAGAGAGAGAGAGAGAGAGAGAGAGAGAGAGAGGAAGAGAAGAGGAGAGAAGAGAAGGAGAGGAGAGAGAAGGGAAAGAGAGAGGGAGAGGAAGAGAGAGAGAAGGGAGAGAGAGGAGAGAGAGAGAAGGGAAAGAGAGAGGGAGAGGAAGAGGAGAGAGAGGAAGAGGAGACAGGAGAGAGGGAGAGGAGAGAGAGAATGGAGAGAGAGGGGAGAGAAGGGACAGAAAAAGAAGGGAGAGAGAGGAGGGGGAGAGAGGGAGAGGGGGAAGAAGGGAGAGAGGGGGGAGAGAGAGAGGACGGCCAGCGCCCCCCACTCCCACTCCCCCCAGCTCCGACTTCGCGGCTCAGCCCCTCTCCTTGGGCTTGGCTGCCTCCCGCGCCTGACCACGCCGCCACCCGCTCCCGGGGTCCCTCCAACCGCAGCTGTAACGCAATAAAACGGACCCTTGGCCCACCCTCTGTGTGTGTCTCACTTCTCAGTGGGGAGGCAGAAGATGCCGTCTCCGGCTTCCCGGCAGCCTGTGTTCGGGAAGATCCGCAAGCCCGGTGGCAGTGGGGCTAATGACTTCCTGGAGGGGAGCCGGGGAGGGCTGCGGGCCCAGCGCACCCCCCGCCCCCGCCCCCGGCGAGCAGCAGCAGAAGCGCTTGCTCAGACCCGGAGGCGGGCGCCCGCGCCGCGCCCTCTCCAGCCCGGGGCTTGGCTTGGCTTTGGACCCGGGAGTCGTTCTGCCACACCAGAATTCTCTGGACTCTTCTCCCAAGTTCCCCTTGGCAGCCAGCGTCCCTCAGCGCCACGATCCAGGCATCTAACCCCTCCAGCTCTCGGGCCCCGGGGCCAGCGCGCTCGCTCTCCCCCTGCGGTGGGCACCGCACCCGGGCGAGAAGAGGTGGGCGCCGCCCCCCGGGAACTGAGCTCCGGAGCGGCGCGGACTGCCATCCCGACGAGGGCCACGCGGGGGCGCCAGGACGGTGCGGACGCGTGCGAGGCAGCGCACGGTCGTGGTTTCGAGTGTGAGTGCGTCTTTGTGTGTTTGCGTTTCTGTACATATGTGGACGAGTCGGGGGTGGGGGTGGACTCTGGGTAAGATGGGTGCGGGACAGCGCGCCTGGGGTGCCCCACGATCCGCCCCTTTGAGTGGCTTTTTTGAGAAGGACTGGGCTTGGTATGTCACCAGCTTCCGTGGACGGGGGGAACGGGAGAATGTGTGTCTCTGCGTGGGGACCCGCGGAGCCCTTGGGTCTCAGAAACCCGTTTTGGATCCGGAAGTCAACAGTCCTTCAGGGTTATGATTTATTTTCCTCTTGCTGTTTTTAAAACCCTTCCCACCATCCGGTGGAGGAGTCAGGGCTGTGTCAAGACCACATTCCCCCCTTCCGTTCATCCTTCTTCAGCCTGGGTCGGGGAGACCCTGCTGGGTTAGGTGTGACATGTGTGTGAGTGGGTGTGTCAGGGGTGAGACTGTGGCTGACAGCCGACTGTTGGGAGGAGGCTGGTTCCGAGCCATTTCTTCCTCCTCTCCATTTGTGGGGTCCATCTTGGTATGTGTCTGCCTCTGTCTCCCCCCATGGCTGTCTCTCCATGTCTCTCCTCATCTCTGTCTCTTGCTCTCTCTCTCTCTCTCCATTTCTTGGTGACTCATCTCTGCGGCTTTGCCCTCCTCCGACTTGCTGGGTCTCCCTCCCCCCTCAGGAGTGGGTGGGGGCGTAAGGGATTGAGATCTTGGGGTTGAAAGGCACAGTGAGCACCCCCTTCCTCTTGCTCATCACTCTCAGACTCACCAGGGCCCCCAACCCTCTTCCAGTCTCTTTCCCAGGCTTCCCCACCCCACAAAACTGGGGACAGAGAATTAGGCATTGAGGTGTTCCAATTCTAGGGCCATTTTCAGGGTGGACCCTCAGCACCCTCTTTCGGCTCAAAGTGGGGACCCCAGCCCCACTCCTAGAGTGCCCCCTTCCGGCCTCCCTCCCCCCATCGCTGACGCATTGGAAGGCTGCAGAGGTGAGTCACCAGTTGGGGGAAGGGAAAGAAAGAGGGGATGCTAAGCTGGGGAGCACAGACCCTCTTTTTCTCTCCCAAACCTTTTCAGCGGAAGTACCTAGCACCCCTGCGCCCCTCCCCCTTTCCAGACCTTCAGCCTGGATTGCTGGTGGGCTAGACCCCGTCTTCCCCAGGTACCCTCTTGGAGAGGATGGGAGAGTGAGGAACAAAGACAAAGAGAATTTCTACCACTCGGGGCGACCACCAGGCTGCTCCACTAGGCCCCCAGCTCTAGATCCTCCATTCCGTTCTCTTCCCTGTACCCCCACTTCAGCCTTGTCTTTTTCAGAAGCCCCTAGAGGCAGAGGGAGATGAAGGAGGGCATAGCCCCTCTCTATGAAGTAGGGTGTCTGTCAATGACCCAGGCAGGGAATTGGGATGCAAAGATGTAGCAAGAGACCCAGAGAGAGACTCAGACTGGGGCAGCACCGGTTCAGATTGGAGATTCACCAAGAAGAGCCAGGCTGGCGATTCACAGGTGCTCACACAGTCACACACACACACACACACACACACACACACACACACACACCGTCATACGTACACAGTCACACAGGCACACACACACGGTCAGATGCACACACTCACATACACACACAGCCACGCAGCCACACAGGCACTCCTGCATTGAGTGCCTGGGATCTACCTGCTTCCCCTCCCCCACCCAGGATGTGCTTTCTGAGAAGCCCCCTGGGTTGCCAGGTTTGAGCAGAGGAAGGAAGGGTTGGGAGGCTGGGGTGAACACTCAGAAGGCAAGAGGCAAAGACTTGTCCTGGGGAGTTAGGCTGGATCCTGAGATTTTCCTGCGGAGGAATTTAGAGGGGCAGGTGGTGGTGGGGAGGGGTGGGCAGGAGTCGTGGGGTCCAGCCACCCACATGACCTCTAATGAGCGTGGTGGGCGTGGAAGGATCCAGGAAAAGGCACACACATGTAAGACCCAGGATAGATGTTGACATATCCAGCCAGGCACACCCTTTCCTCAGCAGCCGGTGCCCAGACCAGAAGCCTGCAGTGGCGCCCACCCTCACAGGTGCCCATGGGGGCCGGGGGGACAGGGCAGAGCCAGCCACACTTTCGTTGGGACCTGGGAACAGAGAATCAGGCGCTCTAGTGCTTACCCCTGCCATCCACAGCTGCTGAAACACACCTTTGGTCCCCCCCCCTCCCGCCTGTTTCATCAGCCCTGCATGCACACGCTCACATACACACACAGGCACAAGGATTCACATGTACACAGGGCGGCGTGCGCCCCAGCATGGCACACCAACAGCTCCCCTCGGCTCCTGTCCCCCACGTCTAATACCAGGTCTCTAAGCCCTGCAGTCCCTCACGCCCCCCCCCCCCGCCCCCCACCTGCCTTCCCCTTTCCTTCCCTCCTGAAGGGCTGCCCCTCCCCCTGCAGATGTCATCTGGGTTCTGTCCTCTCCGGGAAGGTGACGTGACCCACCGCCCCACTCCAGTGCTCTTGGCAAAGCTGAAGGCAGAGGCAAAGCTGAAGGGAGAGGAGGAAGGGGGTGTAGGGAGCCCCTGGGACCAGGGGAAGGTCCTAGATTGTGGTGGGGGTGGGGGATGGGGGCACTTAGACCTTCCTAGCCCCCCCTCTTTGGCATCTCAGCACCTTGTTTCTCAGATTCCTGCCGCCCCCCCCCCACCTTTAGCCTGTTTCTTCGACCTGTTCCAGGCTCCTTCCTGCCTCTCCCTCCTGCCCCCATCCCTTCCCTCTTTCCTCGCTCTACTCCTCCCCACCTCTTTCCCCGCAGAGCTGATGGGTTTTCTTCTGGGAAAGTCGAGCCACTGATGGAGCCGAGAAGTCACTGCTGGCTCTAGAGGGAAAGCACGTGAGTGTGTGTGTGTGTGTGTGTGTGTGTGTGTGTGTGAGAGAGAGAGAGAGAGAGAGAGAGAGGAGAGAGTGAGAGAGAGAGAAAGATGGGGGAGGGGGGTGGCGGTGGTGGTCAGTACCAGGAAGAGGTGGGGAGGGGGCGCAGGACGGACCCTTCAAAGTCTCAGCCCTTGACCCCGCCTGCAGAGTCCTAGGGCACTGACGCCCTGCATGTGCCCATGGGCACCCGTGTCTGCAGTTCTTGTGTGTCTGGTGTGTGTCATTGTCACTCCCCCTCCCTTTCCCTGCCCACGCCCCCGCACGGCTCCCTGCCTGCACCGCAGCCCCCTCTGGCCTCCCTCCCTCCTTTTCATTCCTGCAGTGTCGGCTGCCCCCCCTCTTCCCTGCCCCCTCCCCATTTCCGTCCTGTCCCCCCAACCCCCCGCCCACGGCTGGTCTCCCTTCACTGGACAGGCGAGCTGATGGATTCTCTTTGCGCAATCTGTGCGTCATCGCCCCCCCCCCCCCAGCCTCAAGCTGTCCAAGCCCCCAGCCCCAGTCCCTCTGGCAGGAGACGGGGACTGGGGGGGTCTGGGGGTAGAGGGGGGAATCTCTGACATTGCATTCTAACCCCCATCACATTTCCACCGTTCCCTTTAAGCGGTAGAGAGAGTGGGGGCTGAGTCACCCCCCCCACCTGCGCAACCCCCTCCCCACCTGGTCTGTTCTCGCCCTCCAAATGTCCTTTGGGGGGGAGCAGCAGGGGGGGAGAGAAGCTGGAGGAGGATAAGGAGGGGTGGGTTGAGAAGGGGCGCCGCGGGAGGGGGGGCACCAAGATTTGCTACGGAGTCAGCTGGACAGAAGGACGGACACACCTTTTTCTCCAGACACGCACCGACCGTGAACAGACACGACTCGGGGACACACACATCCTCAGTCTTTCCCTTTTCTCTTCCGACTCGGACCCTTTCAGACGGAATTAGCAAGACCGCAAGATCCGCCCATCTGCCCCGGCCGGGGACCGGCACCCCGCACCGCAGATCGCGGACAGCGCCCGCAGGCGCGCAGATCCGTCCCTCTGGTCAGGTTCACGCCGTCCTTGGTCGTGATCCCCGTAGCCCGTGCGGCCGGGGCTGCGAGCCCGGGCCCCTGCTCGGTGCGGAAGCCTCATCTGCCCCCCTCCCCAGTATAGATCTCTGACTGGTGCCCAGTCAGACACTGGGAGCGCCCCCACCCTATTCCGCTCGGCGCCGCGGGCTTCCGCTGCTGCAAGTTGCTCTGTAACCCACCCTGCCCCCAGCGGCGCCTCTGCGTCCACCATCCATTCATTCTCCCATTCATTCATTCATCCTTTTCTCCTCGTCCCTCCTTCATTCATTCGTAGCCCCCTGCCCCGCCCGTCTCGGCATTTCATTCATTCGTTCATTCATTCATTCATTCATTTCCCCGGCGCCGGGTTAGCGCACGCCCCTCCAGCCGCGGCCCCGAGAGCGCAGGCGCGGGCCGGGAGAAGCCGGCGTCCTCCAATCGCGAGGCGTCCTCTCGCCTCGAGGCGCCCGCCCGCTTCCCCATGAATGAACATTGACGTCAATGGGGCGGGGCCAGACCACGTGACCCCGCGCGCTCCCCTTTATAAGGCGGCAGAGGCGCGGGCGCTGTCCAGCGTGCTGAAGCCGGAGCAAGCGAACAGCCGGGAGTCGCGTCGACCGAGCGGAGCCCAGCCCCAGCGGACGTCAGATCTCGCCCGTCGCCCGTACCCCAGCCACCGCTCCGAGCCGAGGCGGACGCGTCCCGATCGTCCCCTGTCCCCACCCCGTCCCGACCCTCCTCTCCACTTCCCGCGTCGTGAGACCAGCTGGTAAATACTCCGCGGTCCGTTCCTCAAAACCCCGACAGCCGTGGGTGTGAGGGAGGGTGCGCTCTCTCCCCCTCCCCACGGGGGTGTTGAAAACACAGCGGGGTGCCCCCGGTGAGGGTCCTTGATAAAATCGGGGAGTCGCCGCTTTTCTCTTGCTGCTGAAGTCGCCCACGCACCATCCGGGGAGTCCTGTGGGGAGGGAGAAGAGGTTCCCCCCCATATCCTCGCTGCTTAGTACGTGGGCGCTGGCAGTGAGATGGCTCAGGGAAGGGGGCGAGGAGGGAGGGCGAGGATTGCGGGGTTTTCCCCATTTATACGACTTCAGAGATCGGCACCACCTTCCTTCTTGGCTCCTCCTAAACGTCCCTCTTTTGGGTAAGGTCGGCGGGATAAGGGAAGCCCGGATTTCCTTATTAAAGGTGGGGGCAGGGAAAGATAGAATCCGAGAACAAGAAGATTCTCACGGAAATCCCCTTTCTTCGGTCCCTTCTATTTTTCAGTCTCCGGCAGTCCTTTGGCCATGAAACTGTTCAGGCTGCCGCCTTCCGCCCTCTTCTGCTTCCTCCTACTGATCCAGGGGCTGGGGGCAGCGCCCCCGGGGCACCCTCCCCTAGGCTCTGAGCATAAAGAGCCGGTAGCTGGCAATGCAGCACCCGGACCAAAGGCGGTCAGTGTCCCCGAGGTCCGAGCCGCCCGAAATTCAGAGCCCCAGGACGAGGGAGAGCTTTTCCAGGACGTGGATCCCCGGGCGCTGGCCGCGGTGCTGCTGCAGGCGCTCGACCGCCCCGCCTCGCCCCCGGCGCCCAGCGGCTCCCAGCAGGGGCCCGAGGACCCCGAGGCAGAAGCGCTCCTGACCGAGACCGTGCGCAGCCAGACCCACAGCCTCCAGGCGGCGCCGGAGCCCCCGGAGCCCGCGGCCCCGCCTCGCCCCCCGACTCCGGAGAATGGTCCCGAGGCGGGCGACCCCTCGGAGGAGCTGGAGACGCTCGCTGCCCTGCTCCAGGAACTGAGAGACTTCAGTCCGAGCAGCGCCAAGCGCCAGCAGGAGACCGCGGCCGCGGAGACGGAGACGCGCACGCACACGCTGACCCGAGTCAACCTGGAGAGCCCCGGGCCGGAGCGCGTGTGGCGCGCCTCCTGGGGAGAGTTCCAGGCGCGCGTCCCGGAGCGCGCGCCCCTGCCGCCCCCAGCTCCCCCGCAATTCCAGGCGCGGATGCCCGAGAGCGGGCCCCTTCCCGAAGCCCACCAGTTTGGCGAAGGCGTGTCCTCCCCCAAGATACACCTAGGCGAGGCACTGGGACCCCTGTCCAAGGCGTACCAAGGCCTGGGCGTCCCCCTTCCCAAGGCGCGCCGGCCCGAGGGCTCCCTCCTGGGCGGCTCCGAGGCAGGGGAGCGCCTCCTACAGCAGGGGCTGGCGCAGGTGGAGGCCGGGCGGCGGCAGGCGGAGGCCACCCGGCAAGCCGCGGCGCAGGAGGAGCGGCTGGCCGACCTCGCCTCGGACCTGCTGCTCCAGTATCTGCTGCAGGGCGGGGCGCGGCTGCGCGGCTTGGGGGGTCGCGGGCTGCAGGAGGAGGAGAAGCAGCGCGAGAGCGAGAGGGAGGAGGAGGAGGAGGAGGCGGAGCAGGAGAGACGCGGCGGGGAGGACCGGGTGGGGGAAGAGGACGAGGAGGCGGCGGAGGCGGAGGCGGAGGCGGAGGAGGCGGAGAGGGCGCGGCAGAACTCGCTGCTGTTCGCCGAGGAGGAGGACGCTGAAGCCGGAGCCGAGGACAAGCGCTCCCAGGAGGAGACGCCCGGCCACCGGCGGAAGGAGGCAGAGGGGGCAGAGGAGGGCGGGGAGGAGGAGGACGACGACGAGGAGATGGACCCGCAGACGATCGATAGCCTCATCGAGCTGTCCACCAAACTCCACCTGCCCGCGGACGACGTGGTCAGCATCATCGAGGAGGTGGAGGAGAAGCGGAAGCGGAAGAAGAACGCCCCTCCCGAGCCCGTGCCGGCCCCCCGTGCCGCTCCCGCCCCCACCCACATCCGCTCTCCGCAGCCCCCGCTCCCCGCCCCGGCCCCCGCTCGAGACGAGCTGCCCGACTGGAACGAGGTGCTCCCGCCCTGGGATCGGGAGGAGGACGAGGTGTTCCCCCCGGGGCCCTACCACCCTTTCCCTAACTACATCCGGCCGCGGACACTGCAGCCCCCGGCTGCCTCGCGCCGCCGCCACTACCACCAAGCCCTGGCGCCGTCGCGCCACTATCCCAGCCTGGAGGCCCAGGCGCGGCGCGCGCAGGAGGCGGCGGCGGCGGAGGAAAAGCGGCTGCAGGAGCAGGAGGAGATGGAGAATTACATCGAGCACGTGCTGTTCCGCCGCCCGTGACCCGCCCCGCCCCCGCGCGCCGCCGCCGCCGCCGCCGCCGCGCGCGCCACCGCCCCCCTCCGTGTCGCTCCTCCCCCTTGGTGTTTGCATGCGCCCGGCCCCGCCCCGGCCGCCAGGCCCCGCCCCGGCTCCGCCCACAAGGCCCCACCCCGGCCGCCAGGCCCCGTCCCCGCCCCGCTCCGCCCCGGGCCGCGCCGCCACGGCTCAGACCGCTTCCTGGGTGCGCAGCCCACCCCCCGCTCCCGCCGCTCGCGGGGTTGGGGGCTGGCGGGCGGCGGGTGTGCGCGAGCTCCCGTCCCTAGCGGGGCTGCGTCCCCACCTTGGCCCCCACGAGACGCTCGGGTCCGAAACCGGGAGAGGCATTCCAGTGGATTGTGCGCCGCGTGTCTGTCGCCGGCCCTCGGGGCACCGCCGCCCCCTCCTCCCCATCGATCGCAGTGGATTTACCCCCTTCTTTCCCATCTCTGTTGTAAATACCCCTCACGGAGGAAATAGTTTTGCTAAGAAATAAAAGTGACTATTTTATTAGGACTTTGTTCTCGGTTATTCACCCGCTCCCTTGCAGGTCTTCTCAAGGGGTCGGTGAGGGAAGCGCTGTCTGCCCAGGTCCATCTCCTGGCTAAAAGCAAATGGTCAACGGGGCATTTACCTTGCTGACGCCCTACCCGGGTTCCAGAGAGGGTGCCACGAGCCCTGCCAGGCACGATCCCTCAGCACAGAGCCAGGAGGAAGCTCTGAGCACCGCCATCACGGGGCGTGGGGGGACTAGTCAGGCCCTCAGCTATTGATCTTTTGCCTTGCACACGGCAGGCCCAGTTTGATCCTCCGTAGCACCACTTATGGCCCTAAATCTTCCTTTGCAAAAATCCCTAAATTTACCTTCCAGCTTTGAGTTAGGAAGGGAATGGTGGTTCCAGGGGCGCAGCAGTAAAGGCATACCCATCCAGGCGACCCCAAACAGCTCCTCAGCCGCTCCTAAATTACCTGATGGCACTCAATTTCACAAGAAATAAGAAATAAAGGGGTGGGCTATTCCTGTCCACTTGATACCCTTTGCATAGCAAAAGTGGACCGGATGGATGGAATCTTCCAAGCCTGACTCAGGGGCCGGCCACACCTGTCCCCTAGGAGCTTCTGTTCATGGAACCACCTGGGCCTGGGGCTCTCAGGTCATCAATGTGGTAAGTGACAGAAATCAGGGACGCAGGGCACACTCTCTGTCACCCTCGGATGGAAGAACCCAGTATCCCCTACATGGTCTTCCCCCACCTGGCTACCCCCTTCCCGAAAAGAATGAGTCCAGTGCAGCAGCCCAGGGCCGGCCGAGTCCAGAAAGGCTTTTCCTTTTATTTCACAGGGAAAGACACTAGGGTAGACGTTTCCCACCCTGCCCCCCACCCCCAGGTGCCCGCCGTGCCCCACGGGGAGTGAAGGGGCAGGGACCAGCCCCCCCATGTCCACTTGGCCCCAGCCCTCCCTCCCATCCAAGTGGCGAGGTTAGACAAAAACTAACTCGGTCCAGCCCTGGCCCTGCGGGGAGGGTACTGTGGTGTGGAAAGACCTCCCCGGCTCCATGGGGGCCCCTCCAGGATAGGAGACTGTGGGAAGGGTGTGGGGGGCATCAAGCAGGGCCCAGAAAACCTACCCCCTTGAATCTGACATATTTATATATTTACAGATGGGGTGGGGTGGGGGGGGAACTAGTTCCTCAAAGGCACCCCCATCTTGGTCTCATCTCCCTCCCCCTGAGCTTGGAACACAGACAGGTGGGCAGGAGGACACGGCGGCCGGGTGGTGGGAGGGAATCAACTTCGAGGGTGCTGAGTCCCCAGCTCACTCCAGAGGAAAATGGGGTGCTGGAAAGGGTCCCTTCCAGGATGGGGCCACTCCTGCTGGGGGCCTCCCCGACTCCACACGGGGCTAGGGGGCTAGGCCAGACCCATCTCCTCCAAAACACTGCGGGGGGATTCATCCTCCTGTGAGAGACAAGAGGGGAGGAGGGGTGTAAGTGGCCCAAGCCGGGAGGGGTGAGGTGGGAGGAGAGGCCACCGTGAACCTCAGGCTGCAACAGCTGGGACCTCCTCAGAGGGTGCCCCCAGAGCCAGCAGAGGCCAGGACAGTACCCAAGTGAAGTGGGCAGCAGTAGTGACCACCCAGAGAAACCCAAGGCAGGCGTGGGAGGGGACGAGGCTGCAAAGATGACACAGTGGGGGTCTGTGCTCATGCTGGGCAGGAGGGGAGTTGAGTGTGGTGGGGGCCGGTCTGGCCCGTGCACTGTGTCGGGGAGGCTGGCGGGCCTGATGCTGCCTTTCCGCTCACTGCAGACGTGAGCCCCCCGCGCTCGCCCTCCTCAGAGCCTGCTCTGGCCAGCGTGCTCATCACTGTCACTGCGGATTCCGGTGACTCATCTCCTTGCACCAAGTCTCAGCAGCACAGCAGAGAGGGGGAGTGCTGGGAGAGCTCGCAGCCAGGGCCCCCCCCCACACCCCCGCCCCCGGCTTTGGATTCCAAGGAACAGTATTGTGTTTGGAGTACGGGCATGTGTGGTGAGGCGCCAGCCAAGCAACGTGTGACCTACCATGTGCAGCTTCACGAGCCATGGGATGTGGGGACCAGGGGGCTGCCTGGGGACAGGCACTGTGGGGCCTGGGGGCGGGGGGAAGGCCCTTCCCTCGGGGCACTCCTCGCTGCAGCCCCCCCCCCCCTTACCTCCTGCAGAAGGTCGGCCTGCTCAATGGCCTTCAGCACACTCTTCTTGGAGGTGTCCTGCACGTCGCCTCCCATCAGAAACTCATCCAGGATGAAGTAGGCCTTCTCGAAGTTAAAAATGATGTCCAGCTCGCACACCTGGGCAGGGAGGGAGCCAGCAGAGCTGAGTGTAGAGGTGCACCCCCCGCCCCCCACCTTCCCTTTCTCTTCAGGGTCTGTGTGACCAGCCTTCCAGCCTCCTACCCTAGGTCCCTCCCCACCGCTCACTTCAACACCCAGCACTTCTGTTCTCTGTGAACACGATCTGCTCTCTGTTCCTGGGCTCTCCCACCCATCTGTGACCCCATCACCCCTGTGACCTGCCCCCCACCTCCAGGCACTGTGAGAGAAGGCGGGAAAATCCTGGAGCCGGGCACGGCACCAGTGCTAACCAACCAACCACCTGCCCACCAATCCACTCCGACTCTCCGCTCTGTCATCTGGAAGCTGAGATGCCAACCCCCCTCTGGCTGGCCACAGCGGCAGACAGGAGTGCTTGAAAGCCCTTTGCCTGGGTGTGCAGGGAGGAGGGTACACAGGATGCACTTATTGCTGAGATGAGTTAAGTCAGCTCAGGCTGACTGCCAGCGTCTAACCTCTTCCCCCAGGTCAGGCTGTTCAAGAATCTCTGGGAATCCCAGCCCTGCTGGAAAGGACAAACCTCTCCAGAAGGTTCCAATGCCACGCCAAGGTCAGGCTCCCCAGATAACATCTGAGCAGGGCGTCTATCTGGAGGAGTCTGCAGTGAGATCTGCTGGCTTCACGAGGGGACGAGGGCGGGATTCTGGTGCCCACGCTGTGTCCCTGGGCTGATTAAGGGGCCCGGCTAATGGGCTTAAGGCTTAAAGAGGGAGATTAGCTACAGCTCTCGCTGTTCCAATGTCCCTGGCACCCGGTCTCCCAGGGTAGGTCCTGGAAGGGCCCCAAGACTTGGCAGAGGCCGAACTGCTGGGGACAGAGCGGGGCGGCAGGGGCACTCACGCTGCCAAAGTATTTGTCCAGGAGTTCCACGTATCGGTGGATCAGCTCCAGCGTGATGAGCTCGTTGTCTTGGCCCTCGATGGCGCAGCAGAAGTAGAGGCTGGCATACCTGAGGGTAGACCAGGGGAAGCTTCTGGAGCGTGGCCTTGGGCCTCCGGTTTCTCCCCATGGCCAGTTCAGGGGATGAGCCCCAGCTGGATAGGGGCAAAGTGGCCTCCCCGGGGTCTGCAAAGGGTAGCTGAGAAGACTGTACAGCTTGAGCAAGGGCTCGCACACACCTGTGGAGTCTCCATTTGCTTGCCCTTTGACCTGTTCAGTTTGACTCAGCAAAAACCTGAGCCAACGAATTCTCCAGCTGAGAAGGAATTGGAGAGCGTGTGTCCGCGTGTCTGTGCTGGTTCAAATCGGACTCGCGCGCGCGCGCGTGTGTGTGTGTGTGTGTGTGTGTGTTAACGATCTCTGCTGCTGAAGGAACGACACAGACAGGACAGAGAGACTACGTGTTTTCACGATTTATGGATGTTGGAAGGAAAGGGATGTGTGAGTAACTGTGTGGGTTCAGGCTTTGCGACTGCTGGTTCATCCCCAGCACCACATATGGTCCCCCGAGCGCAGCCAGGAGTGATCCCTCAGTGAAGAGCCCTGAGCAAGAGCAAGCCCTGGGCACGCCCAAAACTCTAAACCCAAAATAGCAGCAGCAACAAAGCAAGGTGTGACTCCTGAACGAACCATCATTTCTTCAACCGGCCAAGGTTAGAGCACCTGCCCTTCTCCTCTGTACTGCATGACTCCCAAATATTGCTGGGTTTGGTCCTGAGTACCCCTGAGCACTGCTGGGGAGGCTCTGGTGGGCCCTGAGTGCCACATTCTCAGGCCCACACTGAGCCTCCCACCAGTTGGCTGAGAGCTGTAGAGCGTAGCCGTTGGTGTCCCTGAGCACTGTTCCAGAGCCCTCCTCCAAAGATTTCTTCCTTTTTTTCTTTGTTTTTGTGGTCACACCTGGCAAAGCCCAGGGCTTACTCCTGGTTCTGTATTAAGGAATTATTCCTGGTCGTGCTTGAAGGACCATATGGGATGCTGAGGAACGAAACTGGGTGAGCCTTGTGCAAGGCAAACACCTTTCCCACTGTACTATGGCTCCAGGCCCCCCTCCCAGCACTCCCCCTCCATACTTCTTCTCACGGAACTTAGAAAGTATAGGAGTTGGCTGCCCCACTGGGGTCCCACCCAACATTCCCTGGCCTGAGGGGCAGTTTCTTGCTCAGTGACCAGGGAGACTGCCAGCTCCCTGTCTCAGCCCCCGCATGGCCCAGGGTAGGGCCTCACCTCTTATAGACCACTTTGAGGTCCCTCCACTCCAGGAAGCTGCACATCTTGGGCTTGCGAGCCAGAACCACCTGCATCAGCTCTC